TCAGCTTCTAATCTAAGAGTCCTATCAGCACTTACCTAATGAAGAAATTTCTTCTAAGTTGGTGAAGATAAAGATTGGAATACATATTAATTGCTCTGGTATCTATTCATACGGTGGCAAGTGGAGGAGAACAAACCAGGGATTGGATCTAAAGATGTTGCGACATATATGATTTTACGTCCCTGTTTATAATATCGGAATGAAAGAGAGAGAAGGAATGCCAATAGCAATCAATGTCTGAAAGCGAGTAAACGTAGAAGAAGAATTCAAACAAGACTACTACCTAGTTAGGACTTCAACAAATAATTAATCATTCCTCGTTTTCAAAACTTCTTGGTGATTACAGTCCAGACTCCCCTGCCCATCCTCGTTTCGTTCCTTACTATGGGTTGGTGTTTTAAACCGTAATAACAGGCCTCAAAATAAGGCGGTAGAGGAAACAGAATCAGCTGGCTGGATCGGGATGTGAAGTTTAAAACAATGGGAACCATATAATTAAGACTAAAAATGAGTATTATTTCTATTTAGACCCTGGAGAAAGGAGCAGGCATCCAGCATCCAGCCTTCAGATATGCACATGGTTCTGTAATCAATAACTATCAACGGGCATCGGCAAACAGACATGTCATTTGTGCAGATAGAGATCAAATAACCATTTGCCAACTGGTCAACGTCGATAACGTCAGTAGGATATGCAAGAATGGTTCATCTGTTATCGAATCCAGCAGCTAATTACTGATGGGGAGACAGCAGTCTCTCATTCTTTTCCAAATATCATATTAGAAATGTTATATCAAAATCCCCTCCATTCAAGAAACCCCTCCTCCTCCGCATCTTGGCCTGGGCCCTGGTCTCCAAGCCGATCACTTCTAGTTAGGGCCTTTCGCTAAAGATCAGGGTATATATAGCGGACGAAGTGGTCAGTGATCGCCCGCGCGCCTCTTACCTCATAATATGAGCTCTATTTAGGGCTCTTCATATCATATCTAACATTTCGCCCGCTATTCGGGCTGAAGACGCCACTTCTTGTTGAGTTTTGCGCGGATTTGATTTCGGCATATGCATACTAATAAGGGAGGAGGCCCGAATAGAGCGGGATAGAGGTGGAAAGGAGAGAAACCATAGCTAAACTAAGCCGGGCTCAGGTAAAAAAGGGCAAGGCAAAAAACAAGGCTCAGTTGGGCTAACGAACTAACTGACGGCTGACGGGAGCGCTCGACATGATCGATGACGGCCTCGCTGATCATGACATACATGCTCGCTATAGCTAGATGATCTTTTCGATGTATTTGGCTGATAAATAAATAATACGTGCGGAGAATACATAGAAAGCCGGTTATGCTGGCTTTTTGGCCATATGTCCCCTTATTACTCTTCCTTTGTCTTCTTGATAACAATCAGGAGTCACACAAAACACCATATCCCCACGATATCATTATGTACCGGATATGGGCCTAAGCCCCGTATGGATCTCTGGTTAGGTATCGGGAAATTTCCCGCCTCGCATATATGAGAAAATAAAGGGAACTTTTTTTTTATTGGTTCCGATACATAGTTACCTACATGGATCACGGAGCTAGATCCCCATGTAGGGACATAGAAACCCGCATTGTATGTATCCAGTAGAGATGCGGGACAGTCAGGGCCTTTGTGGTGGCCGTTTACCGCTATTGCCCAGAGGCCATCCATCACATAATCCTTATAACTATCATATGATGATGTTAATGCTAAAATGAATATGGAGGTAGTTAACCTGGTAAAGGGGTTTCTCAGCTTTTTCCATGGAAGAAGAACCATCCCAAAGATTCCTAGCCTCGGAGCCTCCGAATGGATAGGTGGCAGGCACAGGAATAAAACACGAGAGAGGGTAGCCCGTAGAACGGGGAGGAAGATATACGTCGTGTCAGGATATGGAAGCAGGTGAGGAATGTTGAGGAAATATACACAATTGATACCGGTTTGAAGAAAGTATATAACTTCTAGACATTTGGTACCGAGATAGTTCTGCAAGTTGCAGGAACAAGACGCACGTAACTTCTGGGGATCAAGGTTAGCAGTCCTTGTACCCGTTACAAGCCTACAGACTTTAAAACCCTCCACGGTTCCAATGTCGCTTCGCAGGTAAGGGGGCGGGCGAGGTTTTTGTCGCTTCACCCAAATCGTTGGGTATACCTTAAATCATGGTCTCTCGTCCTATTCGTTCCCAAGACGGAGTAGTTACCAACGTTCGAACGCTCGCAACTCAAAATTTGACGAGTTGTGGCTAGTTAGTGGGCTAGTTAGATATGTTACGTATCGATCTCAGTAGGGCAGAGTATGGTTCATTCGGCCAGACCGCACAATCCCCCTAGATGCGATCCTGGGTTTGCTCTGCTGTAAATAGGTATATATGCGGAGTACCTATGTATGTGCAGTTACATGCTAAACTTGTAGCTCGATAAATCTGTCAACTCCGGGGGGGAACAGATCCATGACATTTAACTGCCGAAGGAACCAAACATGGAAATTAAACAACGGACGCGGCACCCTTAAGGAGAAATATCCGACCCTCCTGCATACGATTCTGGATTACGGGAGCCAAAAGGAAGAAATTTTCATGTCTTCATCGTTTCTTCCCTCTTTCCGGCCCCATAATATCAATCGAGAAACATGCCACCCGCTGAGCCAAAAATTTCTCAGCCTTGGAGATTGGTTTTATTCTTTGAGGCGGTGTCAGGCTGGCCTAATCTGTGCATTTTCCAGATCGTTGCTGTCGGAGTGTTAGCGCCAGGGTTTTATCCAGTTGGTTCATTTTATCTGCTGAATTTCCAGGGTGGGCCTTTGAAGTGTGTATGTGCGGTGTGTCTGGTGCTTGAATGGTGTGTGTGGGTGGGCGCAGGGAGACCGATGGGTTTGCTGGCTGCTCCGTTTTTGCCAGTTGGATTTTGGTTTCTTTTTTTTTCATATAATTAACTAACTAATAGTTAACTTAGTACCAAGGTATGCATGTATGATATAAAACTGAGCTATCTCCAATCCCTACCACTCCGCGCCGGGTTTTGACAAAAGAAATGTTTTCAGCAAAGATGTTTGCTATTCATTTGCCGTCGGTTGGGACTTCAGGCAGTTAAACATCGAGCGGGCGGTTGGGTAGAATCGAAGGGCGTCGTCGTTGATACTCAGGGTTGGTCGCTCAGGAGATGAAGCCAAATCAATCCTTTCTCGCCCATTCTGTTGCCTCAGTTCGTTCCTTACCCCCACATCAGCATTAGCACCTATGAAATTGCCGTGCTCGTAGTCTTTTCCCGGAGTTTTCTATTCCTCTCATCCCTCGCTAGGACAGCCTGATCTGTCAACAATCTTCGTTCCGACTTTATATTGCGATACAATCTGAATCAGGGTATATGATGTTTTTCCGAACTTGAATGGAAAGAATTTTGGCTCCCACTCCAGTGCAAACAAGCGGCCATTGTTAAGTAAGATGAACGATATGACTATTAGACTAAGTAACAAGAGGTGAGAAACCGGGTAAGGACGAGAAATGACGGATTTGTAGCCCAGCAGTAGTTAAGTGAAATGGGAAAACTGTAAGTTGCATGACGCCAAAGATTTTTGTTGCCAATAGAGAGGATAAGACAACACTGTAAAGAAGAAAGACTGAATAATGAGAAAATGTTTTGCATTAATTGAGGACCCTGAAGAGTTCCCAAAAAAAAAAAAAGTCCCAAAATACAGTGAATGGGGAGATAGAGCCACGAGAAGAGAAGTAAGGAGCAAAAAAGCAAAGTAGAATGCATGCACTATGTAGATTCATACATACCCCCTCTGCAGCGCATGAGTGATATTAGCAGCTTCTCGGATTCTACGTTCCCAGCTTGACCATTCATTCGAACGATTCACCAGACTGATATCAGAAGTAAATAAGTCTCTAGCTGTTGGGACTATCACAGCTGTGAGATACTCAAACGGTAATGTAGCTTTTCAGATGCAATGCGGTGCGTCGATTGGGGAGAGGTTTTGTAAGACTTTAAAGCGGGCGTGGCTTACAGTATGTTGTTCTACTTTTGTGAAGTTCCGGCCATAGATGGAGGGGCGGAGCAATCGTACGCTAACATAGATATCGTGGGGGCTAGTTATACAGCATGCGGGACTGGCGGGATGCTCATGCCCGCTGAATTTAAAAGTCTGACCGCATATATGCATACAAATTTTGCTCCCTACTCATTAGCGGACCTTGCTGTCGGCGGTCGAAATTTGAAGAAATTTCAAAAACGTTGATACAGAGGGGTGATTTCTTATATATTGAATCGATGTGGGGAGTGGGAGGAGAACATGAAGCAGAAAGACACAGAAAATGGGTTGGTTGGACGTATCAGAATAAAGGGGAACAAAAAGCAAATATGCAGAAATGTCCGAAAGAAAGGCGGAAGAAGGATGGAAAAGGAAAGAAGAAAGAGTGGACACGAATACTATTTGCTGTCGATGATTGCTGCAAGGACATCCGAATGGATAGGGCATAAGGGGCCCGACATATTTCGTAACACCTTGGAATGTATGGGACCTTGGCTGAATGACGTGTTCAGGACTGCGGCGAGAAGCCTTATTATTTTATGCGGTATTTGATATTGCTGTAAAAATAAAAGCATAGGAGTTGGTGGGAACAAACTACGATGCCTAGCGCCAAAGGGGGATACTTCGAAACCATGATGTTATGAAAACAGCCCTGGAGGAAAAGTGATTGCATGTGGAGCAATAAACCAGAGAGGCAAGGATGGGATGACACACACTGCGAGTGAAGGGCCAGTGGATATGAACCAGTACCTCAAATCATAGGTCCAAGTATACGAGCGGTTTTATGGTTGAGATCGTCTACGGATTTGGAAAGAATCAATTAAGGAAGCCGTATATGTTGTCATTCAACAGTCGTTATCAACAAAATACGCTGAGAGAAAAAGTTTCTTTACCGAAAATCATATCAATTTGAAAACACCACCACATTAGCCAGAAGCAAACCAGTTTAATCACGAAGTCTTCTTCGCAAATTCCACTCGGAGGATCAGATGCCGATAACCAACTGTTTAACGCATTAGCAATGGAATCGTCGGTCGGTGATACCCCCAATTTTTGTAACTTACAGCCGTCCATTTTCTCGCATGCGCGAGCAGCATCACTTCTATCCTGAAATGAAATGAAGGCAAAGCCTTTGGCCATGTTAGTTTCCCGATCCTTTGCCAAAAAGACTCTGGTAACGCGACCAAATCTCTCGAACATGTCCCGAATTTCTTGCTCTTCCGCCAGCTCGCTCACCTGCCACACAGTTAGTATGCAAGAACGGCGCAACACCTGATTATGCATGAACTTACGTTCGTAACGCGCAGAGTTGCCAGATCATCTCGCTCATATTTACCGCCCATCCGCTCTCCGGCTGCAGCACCACCCTTTCGTAGATGGGGTGGCACATAACTGTTGCCACCAGCGCCCAGGCTGCCCGCCGGCCGCTCATCGCCCATATCGTCAACAGCAGCGGAGCCAGATTCTTCAACCGGTGCCATTGTGTCCTTGAACGGACATCTGGCAGTGAAATGCTCCCCAGAACAAATTCGGCATTTGACTTTCTTGTCCTTGAGCTGATCTTTGATGCTTCCCTTCTCGAGACCGGCTTTCTCTGCCTCCTTCGCTTGTGCTTTCCAGTTTACACTGGGTCTGAAGATAATATTTTCTCCAACAGAAGTGGTATGTAACGAGGGACCGGGAGGGTGACCCTTCTCAAGTCCAAACTTTGCCCACGTTCGTCGTTCTGCGACTCTGGGGTTCACGTGTTCCTTGACCACTGTTGTGCGAATTCGGCGGCTAGTTTTCACTTTTTTGCCATCGTCATTAAAGCGATAAGAAATCACCGTTTTGGTGCCGTCTTTGTTGGTAATAACCTGTTGAGCTGGAAGAGTTTGGGCGTCATCAAACTCCTCGTCGTCCGCCCAGTCAGAGCGACTATGGCATGTTAGTTGACAATTTATTTCACATCCAATACAAACAAAGAGTTCAAGAGCAGACGTACTTTGCAAATTTCGACATGTTTATGGTGCTTAATATTGTCCACAGGGCCGTAGTTTGGCTGATTGTTCGATGGTTGTAACTGGTCGGATTTTACCAATGTGCAATTATCTCAAAAGTCTTGGCCGATGAACAAGGGCTCCATGACAGTCGGAGCTAAGTCGGCCCGGTCAGATGTTGCTAACCGGAATGGAAAGTTGGTTCACCTTAAAGTCACGTGGGGTTGAGCTATCTTCCATTCAACAATCACTTTGTGACCTTCGACGGGTTATTGCTTGAGCATTCACACTTCCTTTATGACATTCTTCACATTGCTTCATATGCGATACATTCACATTGACTCCATTACTACTTGACATGTCCAAACATCTCAAGGGCGTTTAGGTATGCTAATGATCCCTCTGAATGCTATTCTTTTTTTTATTTGCTAATTTAAATTGACGAGTCAATGAGCATCTCGATCTACGCTAACTTTACTCACATCACACTCATAAACGCTTTTAGGATGTACAATTTAACATATTAATCTTCATTATATATGTTAACTTCTTGAGAATTGCCCTTCGCGTCGTCAATTCTAACATTTGCTTCAACGCAGCAGCTACAAGGTCTACGATCCCGAACATCATGTAACCACTGCCCAGCACCTACCAAATGGTGACGGGCGTTGCCTCATTCAGGAGAGGCGCAACCATTTCTGGTGCAGATTTACGGGACTCGATACGGAAACTTAGGGGCGTATAGATATTTCCTGAAGACTTTCGTGGGTGAGGATCCTTAAGCGCTCATAAATCCCCTGTCATTAATATATATATATCGACGAAAGCGGCAATCGAGGGGCTACATTGTTGCCAACGATCAGATATCTGACTCTGGTTGGCATATTACATTAACTACAAATAAAATGTCACCTGCATGAAAAGGTACCTAGAGTTAATGTGATCGAAAATTACATCAAGGGGAACAATAGGGAATTTGAGTTGCGAACAATCCGAAAAACTTTTCAAAAATCAAACCATACACTAGAATCTGGAATCCCACATTTTTTCTACCATCGTGCATTTCGGTCAGCGAACGAAAAAGTCGCCTTTCGAACCCCTCTGTATACCTCTGGGGCCATTGCTTTGCTCTAGTTGGCCATCGGACATGTGCCTGGAGAAGGCGTGGGAAAGGCAACGATGTAATCCTTTCTGAACGTTGCATTCCCTTCTCTTATGGCCTCAATCTGATTGTCTGCGCATGACGACTCCATGGACCAGAAGTAACATGTTGGAGATGGTGTAGGAAGGTCTTTCTCAGTATGAGTGGAGTTCGCGGGTCCACCAGTCGAGTAATTCAAATGAGTGACCAAATCAACACTCCCCGTTGCAAAGTCAAGGTATGAAAGTGACCGACGAAATAATTCTAGCGCGAGCGCTGGTTGATAAGAAGGAACTGTGTGGCCAGCCTGGTAGACACGAATGAACGAATAGATACCCTGCTGCCGTACAACCCCCCAATTATTCTCTTCGGTAGAGTTCAATATAATGTCCGCGTAGCCGGAATTTTTGAACTGCACTGAGCCATTATACTTGACCGCAAGACTAACAACTTCTCCGCCGATCCAGTTGCAAGCGTAATCGCGATCGCCATATACCAATGTCACGGGGACATTGGAATCTAGCAGGTAAGCGAGATCTTCCAGATATCCTTTCTTGTCGCTTCTCGCATAGTCTCCTGACTTGTTGAATGCGTTTCCGACTGCTGGGGAGAACTCGGTAAAATTAACGGGGACTCCCAATGCCTGCTGCACATCATGACGTGCCAGAAACCCGACATAATACTCAGGTGGGAATGGATCAAGGTAGCAGTGAGACATATCATAATAACCCCATTTTTTCTGGTTCACATAAGGGCCCTCAACATTATTCGCACAGAAATTGCTTGCCTCGTAACATTTGCTAGTCACATTTTCAACGTTGCCAATGACATCAGGATCATAGGTTGCAGCAAGGCGTCGACACTCGGAAATCTTTTCAAGGCAATGGCTCAGAGCGCCTTCTGACTCGTTTTTCGCCTTCTCGTCGATTCTCTGAATTCCATAGGAATTATTGAATGCAATTGCAGGATATGAGAACGATTGGAGTGGTAATTCAATACAACCATTGATGATTGCTAGAGCTTTCAAAACCAGGACTTTGCCCTTTACCTTCAACGATTGAATATTGGAGTTTTGCTCCATAATATACCTCGCGAAAGTCGGGCCATATCTGCCACCGTATGACTCCGTCCATAAGTATATGTCGAAATTTCTCCTGCTCTCGGTATACTTGTTGAAGTCCAGAGTCCAAAGCTGAAGGAAGTACCAAAACTGCCTTGCAGCATTCTCCGTGGTATTGGCTGTATTGAGCTCGTTCTGACTCGAGAAGACTCCGGCAATTATTGTATTATTTGGCATTCCGCCAGGTATAATATTCGACGTTTCCAAGTCAATAACCCCATTGGTAATATTATCATAGCTAAATCCCGTCTGAACAGGCTGATCTAGATAAAGCATATTGGAATATCTATTCCACGAGTACTCGTTTGGCTTTGTTGTTCTGGAGTCTTCAAGGACCTGGCAAGGCCCATTCTCTGCAAATAACCCAAATATCGACGATGCACCGGGACCTCCGTTGAGCCAAATTGTGAGCGGATCATCCGTCGATTTATTCTGAGACTCAAAATACCAGAAGAATAGATTGACCGGGTAGTTTTGATCAACTCCGTGCATCGTATTCGGTGGGAATTTGGCATATCCAGCATATGAATTTGTCCCATTTTTGCCACAAATTCCATCCTAGGTGAAAGAGTCCTTTCAGTTAGCAACTGAGGAATATAAATTAAATAAATCTATGGATGATCTACCTTGACCCGTTTATAGGATATTTGCGCTCCTTTCAGAAATGTCGAATTGATCACAGTCAAGCCAGTTGGGGTCGGGGGATATCCAGCGCGAATAACAGTCAGAAAAAGAAGACTTATCATCAACAGGAAATACATTGTGGCATAAGCAGCGACAAGAGAGAAGGGTTCAAAATAACCAAGGGGATTGAGAGAATATCCTTACATGAGCTAAGCTTGAGCTCAGTTTGTACCTTTTCTTCGGTGAAAGGTAACAATGTTGATCTTGATATCCCTGACATTGAAGCAGTTTTGGATAGTATTCCCACGTGCAGATTTCCATTCAGCAGGCGAATGGCATATCCACTACCGGATGCCCGGATCTCATTATGACATATCTAGGTAACTAGATAATGTATAAACGGATATCAATTTAGCTTTACCCTCATTGGACATGTTCACCGGAATCCACGGATGGGAGTGGAACTTTGTAGGGTATAAGTGCTTTGCGAGAGTTTACCCCGGATAGTAGATCTCGAAAAGTTTACCTTATCTCTTCAACCCTAACTAACTACTAAACTATTAGGTTAAGTTAACTAAACATTCGAATGGTCTTCTCATACATTTCCCCAGCAAGGGTCGTGTTTATCCAGCTGACCATCAAAATGTCAACAACAAAAGATGCTCAAACCTCCTATCAAGAAGGTAGAATCCCATTAAGTGTCCGAGCTGCCGCACACACATACGAAGGTCCCTCATACCAGCTTAGTTGAGCGACTACCTGTCCGTACAACACAAAGAGATTCTCAATAGAGCTGCTAAGTTTGCTATTTTATATACTAAGAGGGTCAAACAGCTAGTCATTCAACTCTCTGTACTTGATATATTAGAGCCTAGATCACATTCACACAAGTATCATAAAAATGCAGTAATTATAACCCAATTACATATGAGACTTCTCTCAACGGCTAAATGGTTTAGGCAGCCGCTTGGTAGTTAATACTAGGCGTGGGATCACTCAATCTGGGGAGACAAAAAAAAACATTTATTAAACAGCGTCTGATTGGTATCTCTAATAGTTGTCATGTCATTTAATTTAGCTGTTCGTATCTTTCTTTAAGGCTTTAGATATAGTTTTCTTTCTTCTTTCTTCTTCTTCCTTCTCCTTCTTCTTCTTCTTCTTCTTCTTCTTTCTCTTTGCTTGTGTGCATTCAGTGACTATGACAAGTTAGTTGAAGTTGAGTACATACATAAACTGATTATACAGAAGGAAGTGAGGTTGAAAACACACTCATAATAAACAAAACTATATCTAAAACCTTAAAGATAGAGTGAATAATTCTAAAGCTTGCAATATGATCAGAAATGGTGGCAATTAATGCGTTAGTAGAACTAACAGCTATTTTAGCTGACCAGAGATGCCAATCAAATGACGCTGTTTAATAAAAGTTTTTTTATCTCCCAAGATTTGAGGTACCCCGATATGAACTCTTGATCCCACACCAAGTATTAAACTACCGAGCGGCTTCCTAAACCATAGATTCCTTCTATAGTTATCAACTCATGTAACTCTGTACTTCATGAATTTGTCATAATCACAGACAGTATTCAAGTAATAATAATAATAATAATAATAATAGTAATAATAATAATGATGATGATGATGATGATGATGATGATGAAATGAATAGCTAATGAATTTTGGTGTATAGAGGTTTAACGAATTTTTGTATGAAGAATGAATTCAGGAAGAAATTTTTGTTCATTACAGGGAGGAATTCGTGTAGGTAGTCCATATCCTTGATGAGAATTTCAGTCTCCATAATTAACATTCCTTGGAGTTATAGAGGTTCGAGAGGACTGATATCCTTATGCTGATACCGCTCATTCTATATACAAATCTAGTCCGAAAGGGCAACAACAGGCGTAATGGGAAAGCTATTCCTCAAAAGAAGAACTAACTAAAAAAGGCAACTTTTTAAGATTAAAAGCAAATTTTAAAGTTGGAGGCCGCATGCAACCGCAGCACGTTGAATCAATGATACGGTTCGCCTTATGGCACTATATATCAGCCGCGTGCTGATGTTCTCACCCTCTCACCCGCCTTACAATGTTCCTCTAGACAACAATAGGATATGAAAAGCACGGATGAGCTTCCTTGCACTGTACACCATGTCTCTTCTTAGGGGGGAAGGACCTGTGGTTTTGCCCTGACCGGCTTCATAAAATGAACTCGGGCTCCGTTGATTGCTTGGCCCGAAGATGTCTTCACTGCACAGGGAGTTGATATCCGCTTTTCTTTCTGCTCATTTTTGGTTCGACTATCATTTCAGATGTCATTGGGTGATTAATATATTATGTTTAAAAATATTATTATTAAATAATAAATCTTAATTATTTAGATCGAGCGAGTGTTGTATGTCTATAAAACTTTTAAATATTATTTTATTAGATTTAAAATATTATTTTGTAAGATTTATATCTATTTAAAAATATAATATTCAAAATATATTCTGCGTTCATATTCTGCTGAAGGCTTCACCAAATTCTCTGGCTTCTCAAATCCAACGGCATCTGGAATGGCAGAGTTAAGGATATGTTTTAAGGAACGGAGTCCAATTTTCGAGTCTTTCGTCAAATTTCATGCAGCTCATAGATAATTCACACATTAGGGTAAGAGTTGTATGATCAATGCAAATCCAACCCCCGAGGCGGTGTCTTCGGGACCACTTCAGGGAGGCTGAACACACGACGAATAGCTACGGCGGACGCATTGTAGTCGCTGCAAAGCCATACCAAGGTGATCCACCAAGCGAGAGAATCATTCGGTTCATGACTTTTCAAAAATTAACTAAATAAATAAATAAAACAAAACAAAAATAAAAGAACAAAGGAAAAAAGAAAATAAAAAGAGAAAGATAAGAATAGAAAAAGCATGGTAGTAACAGTGACAAGGAAACCCAGCAGCAAATAACATATTAAGCCTTATCCCTTCATTGAAACTATGTATTTATAAATAGTCATACCTCACAACATAATTAGTTAGCTAATAGTTGGTTAGTTAACTTAACTAGTTATCCCACACATGTTTGTATGCTCTTGACTAGGAGAGTGATATTCCTCATACCTCTCAGCCCCTTTTCTTACGCTTAACTAAACTTAACCCTAATTCGAAGCTAGTAATATTAGTTAGTTGAAGGTTAACTTGCAGAAAAGTGGGCCCGGCCCTATTTAACTCTCCAGGCCATTATAGTTAGTCAACCAAAGTCCAACTCCAGAAAAGTTGACCGTATTTATATACTGTTGGGCGGTTGGGCCACCCCACCACACGTGATGAACCTTATATAGTTAGTGTTGGGGCCTAGGCTTCCTATTATGGACTAGCGCACCGCACAATAGTATATAGCATCCCTGAGATAGGCTACAAATACATCCACTTCAGACGTCCAAACAGTTAGCTAGCCTCGACCTACAACAATAACAAGATTAACCATCCCACATATACAAGCCCTTCGTTTTTTAAGATGCGTGACGGAAAGCGGGTCCCCTTTACTCTACAGAACTTTTTATATTCACTATTAGTAAATTTGTCGCCCTCACTAGCCAACTAGAGACAAGTTGAAAGCATATACACAGCCCCTTCGTTTGCCAATACAATATTCTTTATCCCATAATGGCCTCATCACTGGCAGAACTTTGTGAGCAAGTCAAAAGCCTTCTTCCTGAAGACCTCCGAGACGACCGGTGGTATCTGCCTACGGTAAGTTCCTTAAACGCTTTTTATTTTTATTTCTATTTTATTTTATTTTTATTTTTATTTTTAAAAAAGCACTTCCACTCGAGCGGATCCCTCGAAAATGAATACAGCTGTGGAAATGGAAATAGTCAAGCAAGACGAATAAGAAATAAAAAGAATCCGAAAATCTTTCTGACAATTCGTAAAATTATTGAGACAAGGCTGCTGGCCTGGTTGCTTCCGGGAAACCAACCGAACTAGGGAATCTGTACCAGTACATATTAGACACAGAATTTCCCAATCTTACCGCTGCGCAGGAGCGGAGGTTAGCATCACGGTTCAGTGACCTGCTCATGAAAGAATGGACACTTGTCGGCATCCCGACTGTTTTGATGGCAGTCTCCGCGCTGGCCAAGGTTGAGAGATATGTGTCCGCAGAGAATACAGGACTGGATGAGAAAAGGTAGGTTCTTTTCTTTTTTTTTACGGCATATCTTTGTCCTCACGTTTATTGGACATACTATTTTAGACTTGTTCATTCTGTTATGTTGTTCCGCGTGCCTTCATGGAATGTCAGCTTGTTTGCATGGGGTGGGAAGCGGGAGGTGCATTTCGTTAGATTGGCAGCACTGAAGCTACACACCTAATCAACCCGTTGAGCAGGAAAAACATTGACTTCGAAAAGGATATTACGGAACGTGGAACAAAGCTCATCGAGCTCCTCTACAAGCAGAATCTTCAGTCGATATTCGACACTTGGGGGTCTTACAGGGAGGAATTTGTCTGGCTGGAGAAGAGTGTGATATATGGACTGTTCCTAGCTGATCAGTCCGTCCTATCGAAAGAGGAAACATTGCTCGTCACGTTGCCTGGAATAATGTGCCAAGGCTGGCCGGGACCTGCAATGTGGCATCTTCGTGGCCTGCGGAGGATAGGTCTGAGTGTGGAGGACGTAGAGAAGGTTCAGCAGGCTGTAGAGGCCGTTGCGGTTTGGGCGGGTAAGTCGGTTGAGGGGTGGCCGAGGGTCACAGATATTAAGGATGAGATATAAACCACTTCCTTTGCATTTGGTGATTTGAATTACGTTTCATTCGCACGTGGATATAATTATGCGTGGCTTCAGCTATTGATACAACAAATATTGGAGGAACATCTACGTGAAACGTTAAAGTCCTAGTCATATTGGCTTTCACTACTCTGTAGTGCTCACCACTGTGTATATAAGCACAAATTTAAGTCGCTGAAACAACACCATTCTCAGATGTCGTAGTTGGATATCTGCACCTGCTGCAATTTCGGAGCTGTTCGATGGCTTTCCAAAATCTGATTTGCCATCCGGCCAAAGATTCAACTTTCGACTTGATATCACCCAGAGTATGAACAGTCGCTCAACCGTCCTTAGGGTGGGGGTGGTATAGGGGGTGGAATTTGCGAACGTCAGTTCAACGCCATTGTATCCCAAAGATTTTCGTGGCAGTTTTCTTCGCTGCACTTTTAGCCGCCTCAGCATTCTCAAGATAGAGTCGTTGATGGCCTATATCCGTTTAGTCAATACAGACACTACGTCTCAACAATGAAACGAGCGAATACACTATACCTTTAACATCCAGGGCTAAAATATTGTATTCATATTCATGCGTTTCCGGGTTCTTTATTAAATGTACGCTGACAACCCCATTGTTGCGCGGACCACTGACCTATAAGCCCAAATCGTGTCAGACATGGTCATCTAATATCCCGTATGAAAAGGCCCCATACTAACATTGAAGTTCATTTTCATATGTTCGCGCCCTATTCTGTCTTTCTCAATAGTCGTGCTGTATGCCCATCAGCTGCTGTAAAAAAGAATTCACCCGATGGTGAGGCACTTACGCGATGGGCCTGTTTCTAGTCCATTTATTCCACGAAGTCTCTCCATAAGCCCGTATCTTATTCTTGTCTCCAAGTAACTCTATACACCTTGAATCCTCCTTTATTCGGTCTGCAGCACGGTTGAAATTTCGAGTTTTGCTGTCCGGCGCAAAAACTTCCTTGTACAGCAAAGTAAATACGGTCCCCTAGTTTTGAATTAGGACAATCCATTTGCAATCCGCATTAGTAACACTACAAATCGATCATTACTCACTGTCATCACAGCTCCGATAACAATGATGAGGAAGTTCGCAGACTGCTGAGTTGCCCTAGCCGCCTTTTCGCGCTTTGAGAGTTCGCCCCAGCGTACCCGACCGTCATCACTGGTGACGGTTATTTGTTTTCTAGTTGGTGGGGAACTTGATGACGATGTTCCACCCAGGCTGCTGTGAGTCGCGTAATATAGGGCAAGTGTTCTCCATGGTCTGATAGGATGACTTGTAGCGGGGTTTACGGCATAGATGCTGAGAGCATGCCGGAGTCGGGGGGTGTAAGTCATAGCTATGGCTGATTAGGGTTTCATTTGGCCGGGCAATGAAGTGAAAAACGGGAATCAAGCAATCCCGAATGGGGCCATATAATAGTTCATCAAAAAGCTGTCTGAACAGGATTGTCACTCTCACTCTGTATTCTTTGTTGAATCCCTCTCTATCCCATGCTTTTGATCCATTGGATCCAATATTACCAAGCCCTCTTTCGCGGCTGGATCATGTGAGTCATTAGTCATGAAGTTGCCATTAGCGCGCTTATGAGCGCTTGTTGGCGCTTGCCGAGTGTCATACTCTGCGCCTTCGAACCTTCGAACCACGCTGGCCGTTCAACTGCGCAGATTCAACGTCCTCCCTCCGCCAAACACACAATCTGCCTTTTTGGACTTACGTCCGCAACGTCTGTTCCAACCAGTACCTCCTGTACTGCTCTTCATAATGACTGCGACGAAGGCAGAGTCGCAGAAAATTTTCGAAAAACTTAAAACTAAACCTGCAAATAAGGTGAGCCCCCAAAGATGACCCTTCTTCCCTTCAGCGTAGGCACTAAATTGACTGGGCAGATATGTTTTGACTGCGGCACCAACAATCCTACGTGGTCCTCGGTCCCGTTTGGCATCTACCTTTGTCTAGACTGCTCGTCGAACCACAGAAATCTCGGTGTTCACATTTCCTTTGTTCGTTCGACGAACCTTGATCGTGCGTCTTTCCCCACATCCAGATATTTACCTGATATGTGCCTGCTAATGATAGATTTAGAATGGCAATGGGAGCAGCTGCGGGTTATGAAAGTGGGAGGGAATGAGTCTGCGACGAAGTATTTCCAATCACATGGAGGAACCGCGGCTTTGGCCAGCAAAGACCCGAAAGTTAAATACACGTCCACCGCAGCCGTGAAATACAAGGAAGAGCTGAAGAGAAGAGCAGCATTGGATGCTCAAGAGTGCGTTCCTTTTTAAATGAATTCTTTTGGGCATGTCCCGTGCTAATGAACCGTTGGACATATAGACACCCACATGAAGTTGTTATCTCTGATGTAGGCCCGAATTTTGCCTCTGATGGGGATGCCACCACTGGAGGAGAACCTGAAGAAGATTTTTTTTCTTCATGGGATAAACCAGCCATCAAACGGCCAAGCAACTCGCCCTCGCAGTCAGCAACCCCACCTGTAGTCAGCCGCACTGTTTCCCCGTTCCTCAGTGCTTCCGCAAACGGTCATGGAACCGCTCGACCAAAGTCCCCCCTTTCTGGTACGGAAGATAAAAGTACGGTACCTACCCCGCCAGTGGCTGTCCGGTCAAATCCCGCTGTGCGCAAGACTGCAGCCGCCGGTGCCAAGAAAGGAGGGATCTTGGGATCCAAAAAGGCACCAAAGCTGGGTGCGAAGAAAGTTACCCCCGCCGATGCTATTGATTTTGAGGAAGCGGAGAAGAGGGCGAAAGAAGAGGCGGAGCGTATTGCTAAGCTGGGATATGACCCTGAAGCCGAGAAGGCACAAGCTGAAGCTAAAACAGGATCCGCATCATTAACCACCAGAATTGCATCCCCTGCACCGGTTAGTCCTGCTCGAGGTGGTTTTGGAGCCACCAAGGCCCATGAAAGAAACCCCAACGATGTTGACCGCCTCGGAATGGGTATTGGCCGTCTGGGATTTGGTCAGGTTGGTGCCGCGCCGAAAGCACCAGCCCCTAACAAACTAGGTTTTGGAGCAACCAGCGCGCCTAATGCTGCCGATGGTAAGTAACATTTGATCTCTACATGGAGGCCTTTGGTTTCTTCTCCAGACTAATATCGTTTTTACCCGTTTAGCCGAGGAATTAGAATATGCCAGAAAGAAATTCGGTAACCAGAAGGGCATCTCCTCCGACGAATTTTTCGGTCGCGATCAATTCGATGCTGCCGCCCAGGCGGAAGCCAAGAGCCGACTTTCAAATTTCGAAGGCGCGACATCTATATCTAGCAATGCTTACTTCGGCCGTCCTGAAGATGACCTACCGGCTAACGATGAGTACGGTGGTTATGATGATCTAGAGAGCGCAGCGAGAGATTTTGTACGACGCTTTGGAATTACGGCGGGTGACGATCTGGAGAATCTGACTCAGGTGCTTGGTGAGGGTGCGGTAAGGCTGCAAGGTATGCTTTTCTCTTGGCTTCCTCTTTGTCCTTATTCTCATTGTGTACGCCTTCCACCATGTTACAGTGAGCTTACTTTTTATGGCCGTCTGGATAGGAGCTATTCGAAATTATCTTAATAGTTAAGAGACGGATTGCAATTCTTTCAGTTCCCTTGGTGCCTTTTGTTTTTCTTTTAGCATAAAATAATATGTCTATTTTCTCTTGATTTAATACATTACTTTCCGTTGGTTGCTTCAATTTGCTTGGCTGGCGACTCATCTTTGGCGGAAGGGCTATATCCAGCAATAATGGAGACATGCTGGAGACGAGGTCCACGATGACGACGATCGTTGCTGGCTACGACAGGGTGCAAGTTCGTTAATAATTTGTGTAAGTAGAATACTGGTCTTGCCTCGTTTTTCTCTTCTCTCTCTCTCTCTCTCTCTCTCTCTCTCTCTTTTTTTTTTTTTTTTTTTTTTTTTTTTTTTTTTGCTCTCAGCTCAGGCACTTTATTTGGGAATCTTTTCTTTTGATCAGGTTGAAGTGAGCATACAACTCCCATAAAACGGTAGATGCGATTTTGAAATATTTTTGTTGAACAGAAACCACGTTATAGTTGTGTGAAATAGTGGTTAATAATTCTCTACATTACAAATTTGGCCGTTTCTGCATAATCAGCTGGATAATAAATACAGACAAAAATTATCTTAACACAAACTTCGTAATACCTGGTGTTGAACATGAGACACAATATATATTTGGTATTACATGGTGTTGAACATGCTATTTATGCCAAAAAAAATAAATTGCTGCTGCAAGGGCAATGGACAACGATTATTTCCCTTTTCGTTCAATCAACTCTATCTCTATAAATCGCATCTGCCATTTTAACCACCTGCCTCATCTCGTTCACATTGTGCACCCTTACGATATCCGCACCACCACCTATAGAAGCCGTCACGCCTGCCGCTGTGCCCCAAAGCCGTTCACTAGGCGTCTGAATGCCTGTAATATTCCCAATAAAGCCTTTTAAACTCGTTCCCACCAGCCACGGGAAGTAACTCAACTCTTCAAATGCCCCCCTCAAAATATGCCCGTTCCTCAAAATCTCGAGATTCTGGGGTTGGATCTTCGCAAAGCCGATTCCGGGGTCGAGAATTATTCTCCAGCGCCGCATACCAACTTTTTCCGCCTCTCCGACTCTCTTTGTGAGTTCATTAGCGATGCCACTGATGATGCCGCTTCCGCCCCCAGGGCCATCGGCATATGCGCTGTAGTCGGTAAGTTTGGTCATTGTCTGCGGCGTGCCGCGCATGTGCTGGAGGATCACTGTCTTCTGAAGTTTAGCCATGGTAGCCAGCATGTTGGGATCCATAGTGGCTCCAGAGATATCATTTATGATATCTGCTCCTGCCTCAACAGCCGCCTCCGCGACACTAGCGCGATATGTGTCGATGCTGACTGCGATTTTGTTGGCCTCGGGGAGAGAGCGGATAAGCCGTATGGTAGGGATGACGCGCGAAAGCTCCACTTCTTTGGTCACGGGAGGGCAGCCAGGGCGGGTGCTTTCGCCTCCTACATCAATGATGGTCGCTCCGTTCTTGATAAAGTTGAGGATGGTCTCAGTCAGTGCGGGAATGTTCTCGGGTGAGTGCTTGCCGCCATCTGCGAAGGAGTCTGGAGTCACGTTTAGGACAGCCATGATGATGGTGGCGCGTTTGGGGTCGCTGGGGGTGAGGGGTGGGAGATGGGGGAATAAAGGGGTAACGGCAATTGGGGGGGGGTTGGAGGGAGGAAGCGAGTCTAGGTATGACCGAAATGAGAGGGCTTTATCAGATAGGGGAGGGTGTTCATTGGGTATAAGTCTATGGCTATGTTAGTAGGGAGTCAAACGTTGCTAACATGGGCATGACCCGTTTCAGTTGAATCGTACTGGCAAAGTGGTCGCAAGACAAATTCCCGTTCCAGCATAAATTTGTGGGGTATTTCCAGTCGAGGGTGTGAGAATTTTAAATCATTGTACAGCAGTATATCAAGATCGATATTACGGGGACCCTTGTCGATAATTTTACGTCTTCCCATATCTTTCTCGATTGACTGGAGGGTGTCTAATAACGCGATAGGCCCCATCGTAGTTTCGATCTGTGCTTGCCGTCAGCAGGTCAAAAATTCAAGTGACAACGTCTTTAGTGACAGAAGAGACTAGACTATCCAAACCTCACAGACGCCATTGATGAATTTTTCCTGATCCGTCACATACATAGGCGCTGTTTCGAAGAGACTGCTAGTTCGTATGATTTTGAGACCACGGGCTTCCATTTCTCGGCATGCTTGCTCGATCATGGCAATACAGTCGCCCATATTGCTGCCCAGGCCAATGAATGCCCGGCATGGCGACTGAGCCTCCCCAGTACTGGATGAACCAGCTGCTGGCGCTGGAGAGTTGGAATAGGCCTGCTGCTGATTCATGACGTGCGAAACGGAGTTCCTGACACGGGGTTTACGAGAGAAAAGCCTTGTGAACTGGCACGGTTGTTGCCTGCCGGCTGCATTTATCTGCAGGACACGGAGGCCACGTCCTGGCGCAGGGCTGCACTGAGAGAACAAGCGCTTGGGGTTAAATGTGCCTTCCCATGTACAGGATCCGTTAAGATGGCGACCTGGGCCAGAAGCAGAACCGCTGCCGCCCCGCAACAAAATGGACAGTGAGGTCAAATCACCGCCAACAAGGAGTGCACCTTTCCTTTATCCTCAAGTTAGCCAATCGGATCCAAAGAGGCTACAGTGCGGGGACCTGGAAACAACTGAACAAAACGGAAAACTACAAACCTTTGTGTGGACGCAATGCTGCGGATACTTTTCCGGCGACTGCTGAGGAATTTCGCACCGACTGGCTGAGGTGAAAGGCGAGGGCGAAACAGGTTGGCCACGATACCATCCCAGCGACAACACCTGTGCATTTGCATCTCTAGCTCTCAGGTGTGGAAATGTAGAGACAACCATGATGTGTGCGAGTTTTCGACGCTTTTCTACTGGGAGATGAGTTAGTTCATGGGCAGCTCTGGAACGCGCTGGGCTGAGTCATCCAGCAACGGCCAATCAGCAGCCTGTAGTTACCTCTAAGGTTGAAGCGCCCAAGGGTTTGGACGTTTGATCGTTGATCAATGCCGGAAACACGGGCGAACAGGTCGAAGGGTTGGTAGTCAAGGCCCACTTTTGCCAATCTCGAGAACCAACAGGGCTTCCGTATCTCTCTTCAACCTCAACGGCCTTCGACGCCAGGTTTGGGGTAGTTAATGGCCAGAGGAATATGGCAAGAATCAGCTGCTGCCATCAAACGCATGCAGAGATGTGACTAACTATGTAAGTTGTGTAGTTTTTTTTTTTTTTTTTTTTAATTTAATTTTTATATATATTGTATATTTTATATATATTGTATATTTTATTTATTTATTTATTTATTTATTTATTTATTTATTTATTTTTTTTGAGCGCCGTGGCTTATCATAGGGTGTTGTCCGAAACCACATTCAGCTGTCTTAAAAAGTATGCCCTTGTTTAAACCGGAGTTCAATGGTACGCTCAGGTTGGATGAAAGATAGAGACGTTGAAGAATGGGAAGATAATTATGGATGTTTCTCCAGGACAAAGAACCTTTGACTGATGTCACGGAGTGGTACCGTAGGAATTTCTCCACGCCTCAGTATCAGGAACAAACAATAGGACTCGCCCTCTCCCACTCGTTTCTCTACTATTGTTCCTTTCTTTCTATTTTCCTCCTTATATAACCCGTCATTAGCCAGCCCCTTTACGTTGTTCTCATTTACTTCTTCTGATCGACATGTTGAGGGCCTAGATTAAAACGAACGTCGCTGGTAACTTTTTGTCCATACAACACCTCTTATATCCGAAACAACGCCGCGCTGGGCCCAATCAATCACCGATAGAATTTCCCAAAAGTCTAAAAAGACTTTTGAAAAGAAAAGAAACAATCAATAGTATGGTTAACGGACGCCAAAACAAAAACCACATACTAAGACCGCGGGTGACAAAAAACCTCACATTGGGTAAAACCCAAGCTAAAGCATCATGTGAAGAGAAAGGAAATTGCTTATATACATACATGTTCAGGAAAGGTAAACCGACTTGCACGCATACTCCGATATACCAAAACAAATTCGGATTGGCTGAACAATGTGCATGCAGGATACCAAGCCGGGAGCCCAGCCAATCCTGGGCCTGGGAACCGAGTGCTGTTCGATCGTGAAGCATAAAGAAAGCGACTGGACTTCATTTCAGCAATGTAATCGTGGAGCAAGCTTATCATCAACCGGAGCAATGTCAAGGAAAGTACACGCAAACTGAATGAATCGATACACGTCGGCAAAATTCGACATGAGACCGAGCGACACCCGAATGCCACCGCCGCTAGGCATGCCCATATCGACCAGGAAGTCATCCCAACCCTTCTTCCGTCCATTCCTTGACTCCATTTCCGCCTCTCCGTCGAAGGCGCTAACGAGGATGTTTTGAGAGAGGTTGAAAGCCGCTTCTCCAGCACCGGGATTGCAAAAACAGCCTGTCCTCAGGGATATGTTAACGGCAGCGGAGCGCCTCTCGACTATTCGCTCATCAACCACCTTGCCAGTCGGCGTTATGAAGTTGAACGTGAGTGTTGCGCCACGTCGATGCGTGTTGGGAGCTCCATAGATCCGGATCAGACGGCAGCCGTTGGAGTGACGGAGGATAAGCATGGTCTTGATCAGCCAGTCCATTAGACACATGACACGTTCGTGGATTGTCTCCATGCCGATGCTTGTCAAATGATTGAGGCCAATGTGTACTGCCGGAAGGTTCAAATAGTTAACTGTACCATCCTCGAATGCTTCATGCCCGTCAAGGAGCACATGCCCATCGGCCTGGACTGAACTGCCCCAGACAGTCCCACCGGCAAACCACGGTCTGTTCAATCGGGCCAAAGCTTCCCTTCGAGCTATCAGACAGCCAACACCGGTCGGATAGCCGAACATCTTATAGAAAGAGATGGGTACAAAGTCGGGATGCCATCGGGAGAGGTCCAAGCGATTAGTCGCGACAAAGGCCGCTGCGTCGAGCATTACATCCCACCCCTGTTGGTGGGCTTTCTCAATCCATTCGAGAGGATGCTGGGTGCCTGAGAAGTTCGACTGAGCTGGATATATAAGCAGGCGGGAGTTGTTTATTTTTTCATCCTTTGGCAACAGGGCGTTTTCAAACATCACCTCGTCCGCACGCAATTCAGGCCATGTCACTGGGATATACGAGATTGTAGCACCCTTGGGTCGAGCGAATTCGCGAATCCCGTGAGCCGAATTATGGTTGTCCCATAACAGCATGATCTCGGCACCTGGGCAGAAGGGATATGATTCGCCGACCAATTTCATCGCATGGGAAGCATTAGCTGTGAAGATGACGGCGTATTCCTCGGGAGAGGCACGGAAGAATGAGTACACAAGCGTCCGCGCTTGCTCGTCTAATTCCGTGATGGCGCTTGAGGTTGGATTGAGCGAGTGAGGGTTCCCGAAGACGTTGCTGTGAAGAAGGTCATGGTGTGCACGCAGTTGGGAGTCTGCATAGAGTCCTCCGCCGGTGTAGTCCAGATAAATGTGGCCCTCTCTGTCTAGGGTAGGATAATCCGTTCGACGAATACGGTCTATCTTTGTGGTGCTGTTGAAGGTTGGATATTTTTGTCGAAACAGCTGTTCTACTTCTTCGACTTCTTTCTGATTTCTCTTCTTCTTCCTGGCCCATGGCCTCAACCATATCTTTCGCGGTATTGCTGGCGGTGGTGGAGAAGAGTAGCAGGCAGTGTGGTGTTTTTTGTCCTGCGGCCTCTGGGCTTCTTCGTCCAACTTGTTCTGCTGTGCAGTAAGGACACTAACACATGACCCCATTATCTCTGGCAGGGACAAGGATCGTAAGGCATATATATATATCTCCGAACTTTATGGATCCAAGTGCCGAAATGGAGTTCAGAGGGAAAAAAGATCAGAACAAGGTGTGCACTTGATACGTTCCTCTCTGACACATATATAAAAAAGTATGAAAAGTATTTAAATAATAGACTAATATAATTTTAACTCTTTCAATTTGAAACAAGGAAATCCACAACTCAGCAAAACCCAGGATCCCGGGCCTATACCACTCTCTTTATAGAAAAGGAAAACCATCCGATGTATGCTAATCAAAGCAACCCATGCGCCATGGTTTATTTACACGCACGATGGATTCGACCTTCATGGTGATTCCCAGAGGTAAAACTAAAAAAAAAAAAAAAAAAAAAAGGAAGTATACTGACCCAGCTGTACTCGCTCCCTCAACCAACCCCATGTTCACCGCAGGTTCATTCATTCATTGATTGATTCGCTGCTCGCACAGATGGTTATGCATTATCGTCGTTTGTACAGGTACTTGCATCTTTCCGTTGCTCCCCCTCCCCCCCCCCTCTCCTCTTCCCCCTCTTTTCCCCTTGCTTTCCATCTCTCCAGCACGAAGTGTTTGGGGAGTGGACTGGGAGATGGCTGCCTCTCTCCAATGAGTGTCGGGTATGCGTTAGCCACACATACCCTTGCTTTGTATTATGAGCCATCATCAAATGGACAACCTGGCATGAGACAACTAGGAGAAACGATTTATGTTTCTCCTTTTTAGTCCTTCAGGTCCTTCACCTCCGGTGCATGCCCTCGTTCAGTCCACGATCAGAGCGTATGGGCAGTTATCCCTCACAAGCGGAATCGAAAAGCACATCCCGCTAATATTTCCTCAACATGGCGGTGCATTGGGCCAACGGATGGTCGTTCAAACTAATTCCTTGTCGGTTTAGCTATCCCAGGTTACTGGCATCGCTAGAGAAGCTGACTAATTTTTATTTTCAGCATCAGCTTACGCCAATTAATGCGCTAAGGACTTTGATTCCTTCCGGAAACGTCCGTCTATGTTATTTTCATGATCTTTATTTTTTTTTCCCGCTGCGCCTGCACAGTCCATCGACCACATGTCATCATCCCATCGCCTCATTCTGTGTAGATCTCTGTCAGTGGGGGTTTTGGCGTGTCATATCTGTGCAAAGGACATACAGTGAAAATGCCTCTGCCTTTTGCTTTTTCTATGCCATCGGATCCATAGCTCATTGTACTCCGTATACGCTGGTTGAATATGGGTTAGAGAGTTGGGGTACATGCAGCTTCCAGACCCAGGCAGCAAATGATATCCCATATCCAAGAAAGTTCACGAGGCCCACCAACTCATTAAAACGAACTATATATAAGCTGACTCCGTCCCGTCTTCAGTATTTAGCCTCCCTGTCTTTACCCTCCCTTTCCTCATCAAGGTCTCGTTACTCTATTCCTGTCTAAATGCACCTTTCATTGCCGGTGTATATAATTACCCCCTTGCGGAACGTTCCCCTCCCCTCCCCAAAAAGTCCCCAATGGTGTGGTGGCGGATCTGGATCAACCATGGCGCTGTGCCATGGCATTGGAAAGGGAGATCAGACGGGTTGGCTTTGACATGGAAAAAGTAACCAAAGCTCGAACCAGATCACGGTCAAAGCTAGAACATCAGTTTGGCACCTTTGATCAGCAACCTTCGGTTAGCGTGGATCATTGGACATCGCTGAAGTGCAATGCCCACCAGTAACCTGTCTTTTCAGGGATTGCTGCTTACATCGTTACTGTGCTAATATCCGCTGGTTAAATATCATACTACTATACTACTATTTGCAATAGGACATGGGCGCTATATGCAGCCATACAAAATGCTGATGCACAACTTCTCAGAGACCTTCTTGTTATTTAGTTATAGCAGATTTGAAAGCAGGATAAATTTGTATCTGCAGTAATTTTTTGTACGTAGTACTTCCTATCCACCTATCCATCCAGTGGTGGTTGAGAACTGGAAGGGAAAGCGGAAATGCCTTTGAAGGGGTGGATCATGAACTGTATGGTCAAATTTAGGTCGGCCTTCCTCTAGTCTCCACTTCAGGGAATCATTTAGTGTCAATGTGAGATCCATATTTTGGGTTTGATGAATTGATGGCAATATGAAGTTATATTTGCTAAAATGTCCAGAAGACCCGAGAAATCAGAATCATGTTTCGTCTCACCCGACAGCTACTACCGTCTCTATAAACCAGGTTGAAACTCCACCGTCATAGATCCACGAGATGTGCCTTTACCTTTGTCAGGCAGCAGGATTCCGTGGTTGCCTTGATCGGATCAGAGCAAGGTCCATGATGCAAGTGGTGGATATGGATGGGTGAAATAGTGTTATCGTTTGGATTGGAATGAGTGAGGATTCTGTGCGTATGCGAAGCTGAGCAGATGAAACAGATCGAGCTACTCCTCAATGAGGTGAGACTGACTCTGAGGGATGAGAATTGATGATACCCGTAAGTGATATCCCAGTCACAAAAGTGATATCCTAGTCGAAGGTTACGCAGGTGGCGTCCCGAACATTTATGAAGATTAGTGGACTGCATGCCTCGACGTGTTCACAATGCTATCTATGATGCTTTGAACGGCAATGTTAATATCATCAAGTATGTCAGAGTTCTCAACGTTTCATTTGCCCTTTGTTTCCCTTCTGGATCTCAGGTAGTTAGTTGTTTACAAGCTAACATAACATAAAGTTACTCAACTACTAAGCAGATTTCAACTTCCAGTGTCCGCGAGCGTTCTCCCTGTCTTCAGCGATTCCGGTGTAGCACAGTTGATGCCCTGGATTTTTCAATCTCTGTGACATGTCTATTGCATTATTTTTTTTTAACTACATATGTATGTATGCACAGCACGCACATAATCGTGAACAGTGCACCGGCGGGTGTCCTCTACCTCCCTTATGGTGCGGTTGGACCGATTTAACTCGAAAATCCCTGAATGCTGTGTCACAGTAGAATCCATGAAGCCAATCCATGTATTCATGCGGGTTGGTTCGTTTCCTTTTCTTTTCTACTTCTTCTCTTCCACGGCTTGACTGTTCGTCAGGAGTGACGCAAAAACGCAAAGACCATAAAATTGTTATTCTTCTTTGCTTCTTTCGTTTTAAATAGTTAATTGTTTGTTAAACCCTTTGGTCCCTCCTCAATAATCCACTTGCTTCAATAACCCACGGCTTTGTGCATGAGATTTTGGTCATTTGCGCATAATTAGAGAGTTGCGATTTCACTCTCCCGTCCATACTGGTTTCTGTTGCTATTGACCGGGATATACTAATTCGTCAAAAATTTCCGCCGCGTATTACCAGAGGTGGAAGACAATTGCAGCTCCTTACATTCATTTATAAATTTTGAATTTCCATTGCAACCGTATTTTTTTATTTTATTTTATATTTTCATTTTATCAAATCATCCGTCAGACGTAATATTTTTTGTTTATATATTATTTATTTCACATTACGACCAGTGTGTGTCTTTGATCTGATCTACATATAAAGTTTAACTTCTACTGAATAAACTTGCATAAAATGAAAAAGAGGCATTCGAAGATCAACTTTATTGAGAAGGAAAAAAGGCTTTAAGTTGGTCTGCCAGGGTGAAGATCCGATTCGAGTCCGTCAGAGCTCGAAGCAAATTTTCTCCAAAAATTCAAGGGGAAAATTAACCTTCTTGTTCCTTGCCGTGGTAACTACCGATTGAACCGTGAACAGGGAAACTGATAAAATAGACCCCAAAAAACGGAATGCCTTATCCTTTTTTCTTTGTTACAAAAAAACTATACATATGTATAGCAATCTCCCAAGTGATTGGTAAGAAGCTTTTTTTAATTTATTTATTTATTTATTTTCTGTACCCTCTCTCTTTGTACAAGACCCCTTAGTACCAAAGGAGAGCTGCTGAGAGAATATTTGCCGGTCTCTTGCTTTTATATGAACTCGTGCGCCTAGGAGGGGGGCGGACAACACCGTTTCCAGTTGTACAGGTCATACGCGGCTATTGATGGGGTGACAGGCAATAATTGTTTGACCGGAGTTCGCCTTGCGTTCTTATCCAGCAGTCAATGGGATAAAAGCGTTCATTATCGGATTCGATCAGTAGCGCACAGCAGCTTAGTCGAGCAGACGGGAGAGACAGTAAAACGGGGAGCAAAAAAAAAAAAAAAAAAAAAAAAAAAAAAAAAAAAAAAGAACAACTTGATCGTGGCGGCAAGCAGTGGAAGCGGGTTTGAGAAGCTTCCTCGTTAAACCTGGATCTGCCCCGCTCGGAGGTGGGATGTTCAAACAAGACAAGTAAAGCAAAAGAAGCGAATGGGAAGGAATATGCAAGCCAGAACTTGAAAAAGCCCTAATTGTGCTGGTTGAACCAAGGGCCTCCCTGCTTCTCCAGCATGATGGGTTGGAGAAGGGCAGGATTTCGCAAGTCTAGGAGGTTTTGGGAAACCGGTCCTTCGGGAGTGCTCTACAGTAATTGGAGTGAGTGCATCGCCAGAGCATGGCCGAAGAGCTAGCTCTGCACGCTTCGGAGAATGCCCTCGTTTAAGACCGTGAGTGACCTGTGAACCCGGGCCGTCCGCGAGGCCCACTGTCATTGCTTAGATTCGCCGCACATGCAGGATCCGTGCAGCACAGGTCGAAAGCCGAGAAAGAGCTCAGTAGACAGACATTGGCGACACATAAATTATCTGATCCCACCATATAACTAGATAAGGTGTCGGGCGGTTCGTTGATCAGAGGTCTTATCAGGAATCGCTCTCTTGAGCGACATACGAACCCACACCGACCCCCCCCTCCTCTTCTCCTCTCTTCTCCTCCTCCTCCTCTCCTCCTCCTCAAACATCCTTTCCTCCCCAGTTGGAGGCATGTACTTGTACATGTACAGCCTAGACAAATGTGACCGCAAGAATCCACGCACACGAAGCTGTTGCTAGCTTGCAGCTGTAGCTTAATTTCTGCACCTATTGAAGTATCAGGCCAAGCTCGACGAGCCACATCAACATGCGGAGAATGCTGACTGCCAAAAGGGCATACGTAGTGGCTTCCAAGCATCTAGAGACGAATGAAAGACTTGGATCGCGGCCCGAGATTTTGCGGGGGAAGAAGCGCGGAGCCCGGGTTAACCTGTTGCCGAGGGATCTGGATTGTGGGGAAGAACCACATGACTTGCTCCCCCCGGTATTACGTGATGATGGTGAGGATGTGGTCACGTGATGCTAGCTAGCCGGATACAGTCTAGCGGTATCCACTGCCGGCTATACAGTGGCAATACGAAATCGCGCAGTGCTTAAATCCAAAGCCATTTTCTGATGCAAATTCGGTAACTAACTACTTGCAGTGCAACACATAATAATGTATCAGCACGTCTTTTTCGAGCGTCATTAGGCCTCAACTCGCTGCCATCTCAATCTCTTTTGCTCCGTAGAACATTCGTTTACTGGTTGTCTTCCTTTGGAGCGGATCCGCAAAATATCTCGGTTGTCCTTGCAGTGGTAACGGCTCCAACCGAAAATCACCGTAGCATTTCTCTGCTGCTTACCTGTTGTGACTTACCCGAACTGCCATCTCTGACAAGCCGAGGCATCTCCAACTCAGCCAAGCTCGCAAAAGCTGAAATAAATATCTGCGACTTTGTGCTTCTCATCTCCATCTATTCTCTTCCATTCCTAATCTCCACGTCATCTTTCATTCTCTGCAATACCACCTGTTCACTTGCGAAACGAACGTATCTCGTTTTCTGAAACGCTTATAACCACTCCTCAAAGCAAAATGGCATCTCCTCGTAAGTCTCCGGATATCGCGTCCATCGGCGACACAAATATTCACTCCTTTTGACACGATTTTAAATTTCCAAGACTCATTGCTAACGACCAATGATGGTTCTTGCGGGGCAGAGCAACTTCGCACGGTGACGACTGATCTCCTCGGGATCAACCACCCAGTCATCTTGGCTGGTATGAACGTTGCGGCCGGTCCTAAGCTCGCCGCCGCCGTTACAAATGCTGGAGGTCTCGGGGTTATCGGAGGAGTCGGTTACACTCCCGATATGCTGCGGGAGCAGATCGGGGAGTTGAAGAGCTACTTGAACGACAAAAATGCGCCATTTGGTGTGGATCTCTTGCTTCCTCAGGTTGGAGGCAGTGCGCGAAAGACAAAGTATGTGGTTTCCCATGATTCTGTTTCTTCGACACATAACGGGTCGCAAAGGGGAAACGTGTGCTGCTCAAAAATAACACAGTGAACACTAATACCAAGACAATCTAAAACAACAGCTATGATTACACCAAGGGCAAACTGGACGAGCTTATCGATATCATCATCGAGAGTGGCGCCCGCCTCTTCGTCTGCGCCATCGGGGTCCCGCCAAAGGCTGTTGTCGAGAAGCTCCACGCCAACGGCGTCCTATACATGAACATGATTGGCCACCCCAAGCACGTCCAGAAGGCCATCGATATTGGTGCGGATCTCATTTGTGCCCAGGGTGGAGAGGGTGGTGGCCACACCGGAGATGTCCCCACCTCCGTCCTCATCCCCACAGTTTCCAAGATCTGCGCCCAAAACATCAGCCCCTTCACCAAGAAGCCCGTGCAATGCATTGCTGCTGGTGGTATCTTCAGCGGCCAGTCTGTTGCCGCAGCTCTGATGTTGGGCGCTTCAGCCGTCTGGGTTGGTACACGTTTCATCCTTGCCGATGAGGCTGGTGCCCCCGAAGCTCACCAGGAGGCTGTCCGTACCGCTGGCTTTGATGACAATATCCGCACCATCATCTTCACGGTATGGAATTGGCCCGATTTCCTTGCTTTCCTATGAGCTATTTTTTTTTTCTTTTCTTTTCGATCCCCCTTTTTTGCCCTTTTTAGCAGGATTTAATCAGCGCCTTTCATTACTAACATACCATAACAGGGCCGACCACTCCGCGTCCGCAACAACGCTTATATCCAGAACTGGGAAGAGAACCGTGCCCAGGAAATCAAGGAGCTTACTGGCAAGGGTATCATTCCCGTCGAGCACGACTTTGAGAACCTCCCAGAAGATGCCGACGACAGCGTGCTTGAAAACGCCCGGCCTTTCCTGATGGGCAAGGTTGCTGCTGTTGTCAATGAAAAGAAGCCCGCTAAAGCTATTGTTGACGAGCTTGTTGGGGATGCTGTGAAGTGGCTTCAACAGGGAAGTAAGATGATTGCTAAGCTGTAGATGTCTTCTTTTTGCATTTGCTTTTGTTAAGACCAGTTTCTTTGTTTCTCTCTCTTTCTCTCTCTATATTTTGTGTATGTGTGTGTGTGTGTGTGTTTTTGGAGAAATTGGGTTGGAGTGGACTTTAACTCCTTTCTTTTTGGATGAGAAGAACAATCTGTCACCAGGACTAGCAAATAGTCATGAAATTGATGAAATTAGCTGAGCAGGGCAGTAAGTCCTGGAACATGATGTCATTGTATTATCTACATATTGATATCCTGAATGTATAATGTTTTCTCCTTCCATGTACACTTCCTTGCATTATCCTGTTTCGCTTCCATATCCCCGTCTACGTTTCTACCATGGCCAGGTTATTTCCTCCGTTATGGGCCTCATTGCTCTCCCCAGTTGTCTACGAGAGATACCTGCTCCATGGATTTCTTCCTTGGTGGGTACATTCGTCTCTTGAAAATGTTGACCTCTTTTTTGCTAAGTTTATGTTGGAGCCTAGGCTTCCTATTATGGACTAGCGCACCGCACAATAGTATAGCATCCCTGAGATAGGCTACCAATACAACCACTTTAGACGTCCAACAGGTTATGGCCCGGATAGCTTGTTTTTCTTTTTGAAGAGCCTTTTGCACTACTTCCGCACCCTATTTCTTCTTCTTCTTTAATCTGAGGTATAAAATGTCTCATGGGGACTGGATTGCTGAATTGCAGCAAGAACCTAATGAAAAGTAACTGTTTTGAAAGCTTTGATCACAGGAAACAGGTTGAATCAAGGGGAGGTAAACAGATGCCTCCAAGAACATGAGCTGCAGGACCATTGAATACTCCTGCAAGCAACAACATGAATAGAGATGAACATGAATACAGTACACCTACCCCTGGACTTAGGGGAGAAACTGATCAAAGAGATGAAATAAATATGAATGAAAGCAATATGAATATGATATGAATGATGATGAAATACATAGAAGACAGGACAGACAGATAGAAAGACTCATACAAAGACTAGAGGAAAACTCAGATTTCTTGTCAAATACTACTAAGAATTCCATCAAGAATAAAGTTGATAAATTTCACAAAGATGTAAAGATTAAGTTGAAAGAAAAGCATGTAGTCATTCTCACTGAAGTCAATTATCTGAAATGGAAGAGCTCTATTCTTGCAGATGTTCATTTGATTCAAACAAAAGATGTTCTCAATAAACAACAAACAGCACCTCCTACCATAGTTTCTTTGGAAATTGAGCTTTGAAATAAGAAAAATTGATGCGTACAAGCAATCAAATAGGTAGGATAAATCATGTTTGATTCTCTTCTAATAAGATAGGCAGATGCCCTGCTATATATACACATTATAATCGCTCTATATGATAGGAGCGATTGTATAGAATAGGAAATATAGGAAAGATTGAGGCCTCTGAGTGGATTAGAGAGGGGAGAATAGAGAGTAGATACTAATATAGAAAGGGGCGAAAGAATAGAGGTGGAACGCTGCAAAAATGAACTTCTTTTTACAATGATCTTTTAATCTTTGAATGCAATTATATATGATTCTCTAGAATCACTGGATGAAGATTCCTATCTAATAGCAACTATATGAAAGAATCTTGCTAAGCACTACACTCTATCTCATGCAGAAGAACACCTTTAAACTACTAATAAGTTAAAAGACTTATGGCTTAAAAACAATGATTTTCACACTTATCTTGCAACTTTTTGAGATCTAAAGGCAAAACTTGTATCTCTAGGTGAAAATTGAGCTAAGAGTACTTATTATCATCTATTCATACGAGGACTGAGAGACTGGCAACAGGAATTTGTTAGAATGAAGCTGGATGATTTCTATACCATCAAGTAAAGCTCTATTCAAAATCACAACCTTGATAAATTGATGAATCAGTTAGCTACTCATGTCACTATCACTACAACTCATCTCAACTCATCTGCCGTGAATGCTCTTACTGAATGATTTGATAAATGTCAATGCCACTACTGTGAGAATACAGAGCATATGATCAAACACTACTGGTTCAAGAACTTAAATCTCACAAGCATTAGATAGTAGAAGCATAATAAGAAGCATATTGAAATATTGAAAAATAGAGATAGAAATAAAACTAAGAATAAAAATAAGAACAAAGATAGAAATACAGAGAATCTACTTGCAAGTCAGTCAAGTCAAGCATTTTTTACAACAATTTCTTCAAATATTAAAGAACTTTTGAGAAGCCAGCCAGGTTATAAGTGAAATAAGAAAAGAATTTGATAAATACAGCAATTAGAAAACAAGATAGATTAACAGAGAAGATGAATATGATTGATTTGAGCAGGACAGCAGCTAAGCTAGCCAGTCTATATTTCAATCAGACTCTTTTTCAACCACTCTATTCAAATCTAACTCATCATCTTTACCACATGTTTTCTCAACCATATTATTAAAATAAAGCCCAATAATGAAGCTGCTATAGCTGCTGCTATAGAGAATTTAAAAAATGGTGTTTTTCAATCTGAACAAGCTGCTGCTAAAGTATATAACATCTCATGAAGCACATTGAAGAGCAGAAAAAATAATTTCATTTAATAAGCAATTGCTCATCAACATTGATAAAAGTTGATTTCAGAGCAAAAGATCTTTCTAGTTTAATAGATAAAAGAGCAAGATTCACAAGAATTTCCACTCTCTCACACGTGTGTATGAGAAATGGTAACTTAAATTCTATGAATGAATTAAGATCCCACTCAGCTGGATAAGAATTGAATAAGAAAGTTTCTAAAACAAAATCTTATAATAAGATCTGTGGTTGACTAAAGGATTGAGTCTCAAAGAATAAAGAATACTTAGCAGGAAATACTTTAGCAGTTCTATAACTACTTTTCTAAGATACAACAAGCTCATAGAATAGTTACTGAAAATATATAGAACATAAATGAGCATGGCATTGCTTTAAAAGTATGTATGAACACCAAAGTACTTGCTAAGCAAAGAAAAGGCAAAATCTACATTAAATCTCCCTCTAATCATAAGTAGGTTTTAATTCTTGAAGCTATTAGTGCTGATGAGCACTATATAGACCCTCTAGTCATTTTTCAAGATCAAAATACATAAACTAGCTGGTTTGAAGATGTGAATATACTCAATTGAACTTATACAACATCAAATAATAGATAGACATTAAATAATATATGTCTCAACTAGTTATGTATGATTTTTCTACCTCAAGTTAAATGCTCTACAAGCTGCTAGCCAGTTTATAATTTTTAAACTCTCTAATCAACTAGAGACCCTACAGCAGTCAAAAACCAAAAAGAAGGTGGAAGTTGATCCAAATACCTGGTTTATCAATATAGAAAGGATTAAAAAGACTCAAGAAAAAGCTGCTGCTTTAGAGGCTAGGAAACAACTACAGAAGCCAGAAATTGAGGCTAAAAATGCAGCAGCAGCAGCTTTAGCAGCAGGTCTGGAAGCCTGCATGTTTGAATGGTAATTAGATTGAATTTGCAGTTAAATATTTACCCAAATAGGAAGAGTGATTACTTTGAATAGAGTGGTCGAAAAAGAGTCTGGTCGAAATATAGACCGGTTAGCTTAGTCTGTATAATAGCTAATCATGCCGCTGCGTAACCCACATCTTGTGTGGATATGTCACACCAAAATGATAAAAATACTGAAATGATAAAAATCTTGTAATTTCATCATCTTCATCATCTTCATCAATTAATAACTCACTATAATGTTAAATAAGAATAAAAATATTGAAAACTATATTCAAAAAGCTATCACTTATCATCAAAAAAACTCAAATTCCAAAATACTGCCTCTGTCATGAGAATTTAAGATTCCTTATCAATATCTCTAAGTATGTATCAATGGAAGGAATCTGAATACTGTAAAGATTCCAGTTAACAAGAAATTAAATGAGAGTCAGAAGGATACAATTAAATGATAAGTCAAGCTGTTTGATAAAAAGAATTGTTCTCCTACAGCTGAACACATTAAAGATTTCACAAATTCAATACTTAGATGTCAGCACATAGATTCTACTACCTCTCCTTCAAAAGTCAGCAAGATATAGGTTTATTGAACATCTACCTGAGTATAAGAGGGTGAAACAGAAGCCAATGAATCTAAAGAGAGTAGTAGTTGAAGATATTGAATATATCAATACATGATTTGAATATCTTTGAATTCTATTTGAGCAGTATCAATTTCATGCCTGTGACACATACAACTTTGACGAGATTGGATTTCAAGAAGGACAAGGATGTGGAGAATAAGTTATAACTGCTTTTAAAGAAGCTAATTCCATCATTTCTTCATCTTTTTCAAAAGGTTTGATTACAGTCATTAAATATGTATCTATGAATAATCATATTATTCTGCTATTGATAATCTTAGTCTCCAAAATATATTTAAAGAATTGATATACACAGACAGATTTGCTTAGCAATTATAAAATTGCTATATCAGATACTAAATTCACAAATAATGAGATTGAATTTGAATGACTCAAACATTTCAATACTGCTACAGAAAAGAGACAGAAAGAAAGTCATCAATTGCTTTTAATGAATAATTATGAATCTCATATTACTGAGAAGTTCATACAATATACAGATCTTCATAAGATAATTCTATATGAATTTCTATTGCATGCTAGTTATTTGCTACAATCTCTGAATAGTCTACCATTTCAGTAATATAAGTATTACCATTCAAAAGCAGTCAACTATGCTGCATACCATGGTTTTGTTAAGTATGAAAAATGACAGTTTCTACAAGACCTCTCAGCTATGCAAAAGCAGATCTTTAAATCTGATACAATAGCTACAGAATGGGCTCAATGTGGCATATATCTATGGAATTCTGACTGAGTTCTTGACACTCTTAAGCAGTGAATCTCATCACCTCCTTCACTGCAGATTTATGAAGATGAGAATGATTCAGATCATATATCTATCTCTTTCTCTTAGCTATTCTCATCAAAGACAATTCAAAAGCTGAAATGCTATATTAATATTGTAGAAAACACCATCAAAGTATTAGAGATACTCTTGATTTGAAATCACTCACCTTGACATGTTGTTTGAACAAGATATTCAAAGTAAGTCTAATCAATGTGGAATTTAATGAGCAACAGATCACTGAATTATAGAACTTTCTTAACATCAGTAAACACTGCAGAGCTAAAACAATCCATCACCAGGTTCAAGTAGAGGAAGTCCTCACTATTAAAGATGTCAATAGAAAAATCAAGTAGTGTAAGGATAATGAAGCTGAAAAAGAGCAGAATAAGAAGTGACAAAGACTTGGAGTTGATCTCATGAAAATTGACAATAATCTACTTACACCACTGACAGAAGAGGAATTAAATCAATTTAGAGATGGCACACATACTGGGAATGATGTAGATAATCTTTTTATTATAGATTAGCTACTGGTTGTTGATATAGAGTACAATAATAAGGATGTGATTCAAGATTTTTATTGTTTTGGTGTTTTTATCATTTTGGTGTGGCACACCCACACGAGGTGTGGGTTGCGCAGCGGCACGATTAGTCTGTACAGTAGCTAGTCTAAGGGGAGGTGTTGGAGCCTTGGCTTCCTATTGTGGACTAGCGCACCGCACAATAGTATATAGCATCCCTGAGATAGGCTGGCTACCAATACAACCACTTTAGACGTCCAACAGTTTATACTGCAGATTAGGGAAGTATACTTCCCCCGAGTCACTCAACTTCTTTTATCTGCTCCTGTTTTCCCTCTTCAGGCATTCCCCGTAGTGACAAAAGCTTTGATCAAGCATTTACAACCTTCCCATCACGTTTAACCAGGGTTCCCACAGAGTAGCATCCAAGAACCCCCCCAACCCTGTCAAAAGACATCCTGTATCCACGTAAACCGGCAATGCATCCCTCCTTTTAATCACTGTTCCTTTACTCCCCTTACATTTCTCCCTCATCCTCACCCCAGTTCAACTCCAACACATCCTAGCTACTTCCGCGGCATGTGATCGTTGGCCCACTCTGAACATCCGGGGAAACCGTTCGAGAATACATGGTAAATACCAAAAAAAAGAAAGAAAAAAAACCATATGAACCCAGCCATCCCCAGAGATTAATCTAAGCTTTTTCACGAGCTTCAGTTTAAGCAGGGATGTAACGGATGTAGCTAAATTGGCCAGCCTGTCCATGAAGGTGCACGCGCCCTACTCTGGACTACAACAGAAATCCGCTGTAACCGTGACCCATATAGTTAGTTATCCACTACTTCACCGTGCCTGCCAGCAAATAGACAGCACCATCTTCGTGGCCTCACAAGGGTCCTTAGCAGTTAGCTCATGGCGCAACACCGACAGTCAAGACATAACCTTCATCGATAAACTGGCGATTGCCATCACAAAAATGCAATTTACATCAACGAAAAAAAAAAAAAAACTCTATTTCACTTTGCTGTGGGCTTCAGTTATGGGCAGTGGATTGATGTACGCGGTTGTTTGTCTGTTCGAATTCGGTGTAATTGGTGGTGGGGCGAATTTGGTCTCCTCCCCGGGGTGTTATGGTTAGGCATGGGGCGAGGGATCACCTCATTTCCCTTCGCCACCCACTGGCCCACATGATGTGCGACAGATTCGTGAGGAATGATGGGAGTGCAACAAAAGCCGTAGCAGGGAGGGCTGTGTAGGGAGAAAGGAGGAAGATGGATTAGAGTTGGCGCAGAGGATTGTGGGCGGGAGTCTTTTTATGCGGATTGAGTTTCATGAGAAGCATATTCAGGCGGGGCGGGGCGGGGCGGGGCGGGGCGGGGCGGGTGTCTGGTCAGAAGCTGATCATCATATGTTGCGCGCTAGATTTGGGTTTTTTTTCGAGAAGTTTGGGTAATTTGGGGTTGTTAAAGCAAGGTAGGTTCATTGCTGTGTACGGAGGTACAGGACGTCTTTTCATGGTCATCCTTCTGTTCACAGAGGGTGGTCAATAGTTGCTCTAGAGAAAATGGATGGATAATTACCAGTCTTGCATACGCGGCGCGACATCCCCCTAGATATTTTATCTTAATGAACAGTCTACTTATGTGTCTACTGCTTCTTGTTTTGTGACATTTCGTGTTACAAAGGGGGCAAGGGGGCAAAAGGAGTAATGAGTGGGACGGTTAGGATATGTATGGCAGGGAGAGATTGAACAGAATAGTCCACGATCTAAGCTAACTACGGAACGTATGTAGCTACCAATGAAATGCACAGCAAGCCGCGGGTCTCTATGCAAGCTTGGGTAATGAGATTAAGAGATTCCAAGGTTGATTTCTTCATGCTAGAACTGACGGTAACTTAGGTGAAGTCTTTAATTAATATTTGAGGGGTCTTCACCTAGAGTTTCGGGGGTCCCAGGCATTCCACCAACTTCCTGCCAATTGTTCTGAGTGCCACTCCCGTCACAAAACCCAATCTGCCACTGTAGAGGATCGAATCAACAGAGCTAATGAACGAATGCATTGCTATATCTAACTAACTGATCCAACGCACTCTCTCTCTGATTGTAATGAACGAACTGTGAGCCGAATACCCTCAAATGAATGGAGGTTGTGCCAAGCCGGAAGTAGCTATTCCGACTCCGGATAGAACGGCTTGGCTATATAAAAGGGCTATTATCAAGGGGCCACCAAACTGTTGGGTGCCCTCTGTATGCTGTCCTGTGCTGCCCTTTGTTTTCATCCATAGATATGTCATGACGTTATTTTTGGTCTCACTCCTGAATGCTCCAGTTGTCACAAGCATCACATCGTTCGTATTGCCTCATACCGCTCGTATGCCTCGGATTGCTCGTACGTCTCGGATCCCTGCCGACCGCCATAGCCGTATGCCCCGCTTATGAACAAGCTCGCGTACGCGCGCGGACACATATATCATTCTTTTCTCGCTGTTTTTCTCTTCTTCTTCATATAGATGATCATATAGATTAGCTAGTTACTACTACGACTACTACTATCTTATGCCTACTACGTTCTGACTATCGTCACAACGGTTGAGTCATGAGTGATACCTGTTCGGCGTGCAAGCTGATTGGCCCCTCATTAACCCCGCAATTCGGATGTACCCGCCAAGGCTGGAAGATCCCGATACATGTTTCCATGGGAGGAGTGTATTCGTATTGCATCTAGATTATGACATAAAGGAGACATTCATTCATGGATCGGGCTACATCAACCTTGCAAGAAAGCTGTTATCAGAATGCTGGATTGAATGCCGGATCACTCAACGCTTCAAGCCACTCAATACTTCAATTTTTTCCGCTCATCACAGTCAAATTCTTCAACTTTTCACATGGTCTCCCATGCCAAACAAGGATTTAATTAAACTTTCAATTGAAGATTTAAAAGTACCAAAGATCAAAAATTATTGTGCCACTGCTAAAAAAAAATATTCAATTAGCAGAGATACACTGTGCTGATAATAAAAAGACATTCAACTCTCACATAATGAAGCCATTTCTCAATATAAAAAGAAGATCACAAATATGCAAGAAGAGCAGCTTCTGCTTCATATAGAGAAACTTGCAACTCACAGCTTGCTTCTATGCCTCAACTTATTCAAAATCTAATAAAAGAGTTTACTTTTTTCTGTAGTAGAAAAGTCAATGAGCTACTTTATCAAACACTACAAGAATCAAGTTAAATCTCTGCATGATCATTTAATTGATTAAAAATACAAGATTGCAGGTCATTTTGAGCATTTTAAATATTATTTTAAATATATAATTTTGTGATTTTATTAATTTTACTGCTTAGTTGTACTTATAATCTTTTGTTAATAATTTTGATGCTTAATCATATAATTAAATAAGAAAATTGAAAAATATAATATCAGGTCTTTAAATATTTACAACTTTAATGAAAAGAACTTTCTAATTAATATTGATTAGACTATATAATGAATTGTATCAGGTAAGCAGTTCAAAATAAAAAAGATTATTATAATATAAGTTGACAGCTGTGAATTCATTTTATCACTTGCTGAATATATGTAGATGACATATCTCTTTCATTGTTTTAATTTATTGAAAAACTAAGATATTAAATATATAACTGAAGAATTTAAATGAGAAAAATTCAACTTATTTTGCAATTTTCACAAAGAGCTAAAGTAATAATGATTATAATTTTAACAAATTTAAATAAGTATTTGATTATCATATTAAGATCAACATTGATCATAGAAAATATTTTCTTATTTTAAATTATTATTTTTTATATATAAATATATAATTTATTAAATATATAGATAAATAATAAATTCTTCTTATAGTTTTATCTTTACATATCATATATTAATTACAGTTTATGAATATTAGAATATTGATCTCTCTGATAATTGTTAGGGAGCGAATGCGAGCTGCATAAGAAGAAAAACTCTCTGCGTTGCTAACTGCTATATAACAAAATACTAAGCTTGATGGGATGAAAGGGGGTTGCTAGGGCCTGCCTCGATTATAACACCCGCATGTTCGAGTGGTCACGTGATGAGGATTAGGCCTAATCGGGCGCCGAGCTCAATCCGACGTCTAGTCTAACCGGGCGCCGGGCCTCGGTCGGGCGCTGAGCCTAACAATAATTGTATATTCTTATAAAGTCAACAATTGCTTAGCAGTAAATTAAAATTTATTAAAATGATAAATGAAGCTTTCTCAAAGTTTTCAACTCTGTATTGGAGCAATATCTTATAGATAAAAATATTTAATCTATATTTGATGTTATTATTATTCAATCTTTTGCATTTAAGTATATTCTTCATCTATTTTAAAAATAATTACTATTTTCTATTAAATCAAATTCTAATAAGATCTCTACTTCTATGACTTTTTATGCTGTATACTACAATAATAATAAAAATTCAACTTCAGCAGGGCTTACTCTACAACAATATGAGAAACTTATTGTTAGGCTCAGCGCCCGACCGAGCCCGACCGAGCCCGACCGAGGCCCGGCGCCCGATTAGACTCGACGTCGGATTGAGCTCAGCGCCCGATTAGGCCTAACCCTTGTCACGTGATCAAGTTAATGAGAAAGACATCTCTCAATAAAAAACTATCAATAAAAAATAAATTCTTTAAGAATATTTATTAATAAAAAAATATTTAAAAAGATAAATACTTTGAGAATCAATAAAAAACAATTAATGAAAAGCAAATACTTCAGATATATTTATCAATAAAAAAATTATTTAAAAAAAATTAAAATCTTTGAGATAAAAACAACTAATAAGTTATATATAAATACTGTATATTAAAATCATGATATAGTTCACTACAGATATGAGATATCTACCACTACACCTATATCATCATATCTATTTGGTTAATTTAACCTTTCTTATAGACCTGCTTCTATTGTTACTTTGATACAAGTATATTCTTACTATTCAATTTGAATATAAGTTTATTTCTTCTTCTCAATCTGCTTCTATATTTTTCTAGTCTGGTTCTGCATTCTAGTCTGATTCTGCATTCTAGTCTGGTTCTGCATCTTTTTAGTCTCTTATACAGCTCTCTTAGTCTCACATTGCTTTAAGTTTTAAGTTTTTATATCTTTTGATCTTCTCAGTAGTAGTTTGAGTAATCTTTTACTTATATTTTTATTTATACTTTCTTGATAGCATAAGTTTTTCTAAAACTATAATGAAGTTGTTCTTATACTTATTGAGTAGTTTTATTTTTTCTGAATTGATAGTTTGATGTTACTCATAGATTTGTTAAATCTTATATGATGAGAAGAATTGTATTCAATTAGTACACTTAAAATTAAATAAATATAAATTCTTTTTATATTATTTATACTTCTTCTCATCTTATAAAGTCTTAGTTGAGGTCTTATTTTCATGTATGAGAATCTTATTATCAAATGAAAATATCTCACTGGCATATATCAGTGTTAGGGTGCGAATGCGAGCTGCATAAGAAGGAAACTCTCTGCGTTGCTAACTGCTATATAACGGAATACTAAGCTTGATTGGATAAAAGGGGCCTGCTGGATTATAACAACCTGCATGGTTGCATGGTCACATGATGAGGATTAGGCCTAATCGAGCGACCCGCATGGTCACTTGATCACGTGATGAGGGCTAGGCCTAATCGGGAGCCGAGCTTAATCCGACGTCGAGTGGGCGCCGGGCCTCGGTCGGGCTCGGTCGGGCTCGGTCGGGCGCTGAGCCCAACAACTTATTCAATTCTATACAATCTTTCAATCTAAGAAATGAGATCAGTCTTAATTCATCAAGTCATTCAGAATCTATTTCTACTACAAACTCAGAGTTTGACACTTTTCTGAATAATTTCCTAACCTCATGCTGGGTGTTAACTATGGCTTCAATCTAGGCGCAGATAAACAGATGTTTGATTGCCAGCGAGGTACGCTACTTCAACGAAATACTAAGATGCTCTACAAAACATGGCCCCGGGGAAGCCACTGTTTATATACCCCTTTTCCACTAGCGGTTGCTAGGAAGTTTCTGTGGGGTAGTTGCTTGCGGGGTGGGTGCTAGGCCGTAGGCAGTTGCTATTACTCTTTTTGGAACGATGTCAGTTTGTCACGATATCGCTCGGATGCCTCGGACCGCTCGTATGCCTCGGACCGCTCGTATGCCTCGGACCGCTCGTATGCCTCGGACCGCTCTACGTCTCGGATCCCTGCCGATGGCCGCCACGGGGGCCGTATGCCTTGCTTATGAACAAGCTCGCGTACGCCCGCGGACACACATCTTTTATTCATTTCTCACTGTTTTTCTCTTCTTCTTTTCATAAAGATGATCATATAGATTAGCTAGTTATTATTATGAACGAACACTACTATCTTATGCCTACTACATTCTGACTATCGCCATAGTTCTGAGCCTGGTGTAATACTATGTAAAACAAGCTTTGATGATATTCTTTTCCTCCTTTCATTCAGTTTGATGTGAACTGACTGACTGAAAGAACTGATATTTGGATCTCTGCAACTGTTTTTGCAGATCCTACATCTGGCTATCTTAAACTGTATTATCAAGATTCCGCCAATCTTGATCTGAAGATTTGAGATCTGCCATGGCAGCTGATCAAGATACTGGGGGAACCACTAAGACCCTCAACACATTCAAAGATTGGACCATGTAACGGGCTAGTCACTGAAAACAGCTAATAACTAACCCGTATGAAAACAGAAAGGAATCGTTAAGGAAGAAAAAGAAAAGATAGATCATGGAGGAATCAGGCTTCTTTTATATAGGGCAGGCTTCGGGTATTAAGGGGCTAGCTCTACACGAGGATGACTGAGGCATTGCCTCGGTGGTAGAGGCGCCGCCTCGGTAGTATACGAATAGGGTGGAGGCATAATCGTGCCGCTGCGCAACCCACACCTCATGTGGGTGCGCCAAACCAAAATGATAAAAACACTGAAATGATAAAAATCTTGCAATTTCATTATCTTCATCATCTTCATCAATTAATAACTCACCACAATGTCAAATAAGGATAAAAATATTGAAGACTGTATTCAAAAAGCTATCACTTATCATCAAGAAAACTCAAATTTCAAAATACTACCTCTGTCATGAGAATTTGAGATTTCTTATCAATATCTCTGAGTGCATATTAATGGAAGAAATCTGAATACTGCAAAGATTCCAGTTAACAAGAGATTAAATGAGAGTTAGAAGAATGCAATTAAATGATGAGTTAAGCTGTTTAATGAAAAGAATTATTCTCTCATAGCTAAACACATTGAAAATTTTGCAAATTCAATATTTAGATGTCAGCACATAGATTCTACTACCTCTTCTTCAAAAGTCAGCAAGATGTGAACTTATAGATTCATTGAATGCCTATCTGAGTATAAGAGGGTGAAACAAAAGTCAATGAATTCAAAGAGAGTGGCAGTTGAAGATATTGAATATATCAATATATGATTTAAACATCTTCAAATTCTATTTGAGTAGTATCAATTTCACACCTGTGATATATACAACTTCAATGAGATTGGATTTCAAGAAGGATAAAGGTGTGGAGGATGGGTTATAACTGCTTTTAAAAAAGCTAATTCCATCATTTCTTTATTCTTCTCAAGAGATTTGATTACAGTCATTAAATATGTATCTATGAATAATCATATCATTTTACTATTGATAATCTTGATCTTCAAAACACACTTGAAGAATTGATATACACAGATAAATTTATTCAGCAATTGTAGAATTGCTATATTAGATACTGAATTTATAAATAATGAGATTGAATTTGAATAGCTCAAATATATCACTACTGCTACTGAAAAGAGACAGAAAAGAAGTTATCAATTGCTTTTAATAAATAATAATGAATCTCATATCACTGAGAAGTTCATACAATACATGAATCTTCATAAGATAATTTTATATAAATTTTCATTGCATGTTGCTTATTTGCTACAATCTCTGAATAGTTTATCATTTTAGCAATATAAGCATTATTATTTAAAAGCAGTCAACTATGCTGCATGTCATAGTCTTATTAAGTATAAAAAATAGTAATTTCTTCATGATCTCTCAGCTATGCAAAAGCAGATCTTTAAAACTGATATAATAGCTGCAAAATGAGCTCAACATGATATATATTCATGAAATTCTGACTGAGTTCTTGATACTCTTAAGTAGTGAATCTCATCATCTCTAATGTAGATTTATGAATATGAGAATGATTCAAATCACATATCTATCTCTTTCTCTCAGCTATCCTCATCAAAGACAATTCAAAAGCTAAAATATCATATTAATATTGCTGAAAACACCATACAAAGTATTATAGATACTCTTGATTTAAAATCACTCATTTTGACATGTTGTTTGAACAAGATATTCAAAGCAAGTTTAATTCAAGTAGAACTTAAATGAGTAATAGAACACTGAATTAGAGAACTTTCTTAACATCAGTAAACATCACAGAGTTAAAACAATCCATTGCCAGGTTCAAGTAGAGGGAGTCCTCACTATTAAAGATGTCAATAGAAAAATCAAGTAGTATAAAAATAATGAAGCTGAAAATGAGCAGAATAAGAAGTGATGAAGACTTGAAGTTGATCCCATGAAAATTGACAATAACTCACTCACACCACTGACAGAAGAGGAATTAAATCAATTTAGAGATGGCACACATACTGAGAATGATGTAGATAATCTTTTTATTATAGATTAGCTACTGATTGTTGATATAGAGTGCAATAATGAGGATGTGATTCAAGATTTTTATTGTTTTGGTGTTTTTATCATTTTGGTGTGGTGCACACACACGAGGTGTGGGTTGCGCAGCGGCACGATTAGTACGAAGGCCTCAATGGTGGAGGCATCGCATGAAGGTAGACTGCTTAATAGCACTGCTCTGATAGCGCCGAAGGCTCGGTCGTTCGTTCCGTAAGTTCTTGCTCAATTAGCGCGGTTTCAATTTGTGTATATTATACAGTTTCTCATCGAATTATTAAGGTAACTTTCGTATTACCGTGTATTAAGGTGTCACTACTAGATTGGGTAATCGCATAGAATTCCTCCTAACACCAAGTATTCAAACAGAGAGGTATATTTTGACATGCTAAGCAACCAGAATATGATCTTAGTATCTATTTATTTTGTTACCAACATTTATACTGACACCAGGCACAAACCGATTGCTTTGAAAAAACAATTCATTGATGATTTAGATTAGAGTTCAATTAATAAGATTGAAGAGAATTAGCAGATAATAAGTGATTTTATTTATGAAACAGTAAATATGATGCTACTTGAAGCTAACTAAGATTTGATATCAACACTTTTACTGACTGTACTACCACTCTGAATGATCTTTTAAACATTTGTATCTTGATATTATACAAAGATTTAAGATCATCTGAAGAAGTATAAGATGATTAATTTATTTTATATATGAATTTTTACAGTTTTATAATACATTTAAAGCTTATTGAAAATCTGACTTGTAACAATATTTATTTAATATTATTGCTTAAATTAACTATGAATTTGAATATGATGTTAAGATATTAATGGTTAATAATAAAATCAATATAAATACTAGTATTATATTTGAATAAATTAATAAAAAAGATATTAAATTTGAGTTATAATCTGAATATATCAAAGTAGAATAAAGTGATAGAATGAGTAAATACTTTAATAATTAAAAAATACATTGTCTATAAATATAGATTTACTTGTCTGAATTTTTAATCTCTGATATTCATAGTTAATGTCTATATTTTTAATTATATATATTTATATAATTATTAAAGTGAAAATTTTTACTATAGATTCTATAAAAATTTCTTTATCTATTTGATAAGCTAGTTATTTATTTTGTTGTTTATAATTACTGCAGATGTATCAAATTTATGATAAAGTTCTCAGCTATATAAGATTAAATAAACTCTTTACTCATATTTATATTAATTTTTTAATTATTTATAACTATATAAATATCTTTCAAATATAAATTCTATATTTTAAATATATTATTTAGTATTAAAATATTATTTTTAATGAGAATCTTCTGTATAACTTAGATAAATTTAATATTAAAGATTAATTATATGTGAAAGTTATATAGACTATTGATTTACTTGATCTACTAATTTATAAATTAATAATTATTAAAAAAAAATAATAAAAAGTGAGATCAATTGATTATAAATTTTAAAAATATCTATAAAATTTATGATATAAGTGAATATTACTACTTTTTAAATATATATATTTTCTATAATCATATCAATCTAAAGTTGTAAGTTTATATTAATATCTTTATTAATGAACTAATCAATATGTATAATTTTATATATACCAATTACTGATTTTATTATATATTCCTTAAATTTATATATTGAAACATTAATTAAATAATCTTTAAACAAATATATTACTACTAATTCTATGTTAATTTTTTATCTATTAGCTATTATTGAATAGTCTGATATAATTTATACTACTGAGAAGCTTGCAATATATATACAAAATTCATCAAACTATTATTTAGTAAAAATAAATAATATAATCATTTATTTTTAAAATATTTATAACTTAATCATTTAATATAATGAATTATAATATTATAATCAATATTACTAAATAATTAAATATAGCTATTTTATTTATTAAAATAGTTGAAGTATTAAATAATATCAGCTTCACTAATAACATAAACTATAAATCTAAAATATTTTTTAGACTTTATAATAGTTTGATAGTTTAAAATTTTCTTGTCAGTCAACAATAATAACATATACTACTGAAGCTAAACTTCTTCATAATTTTATATATAGATTATGAAGTAGTTTAATAATAGTATTTCATTACTTAAATTTAAATTGACTGAAAATATAGAATTTATATTCTCTGTAATAACTATTAAATCATAAATATATTCATCTACTTTAATTTAAATACCTTTAATATATTAATATTCATTATTATTAACTTAAAGAATATGTTCAATATAAATTTATTAATGCTGAATAAACAAGAACTAAAGATATATCAGCAGATAGATTTACAAAACTATTGAAGTAATAAAAACACATCTTTTTTATGCATTAACTTGACTTGATGGATGTTATAAATCTTATCATTCACTAGTAAATTTATTTTATAACTAGTTTTAGTTGGGTTTTTTTTTTGCTTACTCATTTACTTGCTTGTTTTCTTGTTTTATGCCTTCAACAGACACTCATGATTTATAAGTGAATTCAACACTTACATCTTCTGTTCATTGCCTATTTGGATAATCTCTTCAGCTTCATGCCTGACAGCGCTCAGCTGGGGGTATGTGGCACAAGCATTATATCACTCATATGCCTTAGATTGTTCATATGCCTCAGATCACTTGTATTCCTCGGATCCCTGCGGACTGCCACAGCCGTATGCCTCACTTATGACCAATGCTACTATCTTATGCCTGCTACGTTCTGACTATCGCCACTCAGTTTCCGTAGCCGTAACTTGCCCAGTAGCCATACGCCGTCAGAGCACACCATCACACTGGGTTTCTCACCATGACTGCATAATCAGATTATCTACACATCTATTTCATTAAATCACTCATTTAATATGTAATTAAAAGAATACCCCTATTAATATCTCTAATTCAATTCAATTTAGTTTCATGGCTGTGAAAATATTTGAATTTGTAGGCAGAGCAGCAAAATTTTGTTGCTTGAAGCATTGAGTTTACCGGTCACGGTAGTTACCCGGATCGGAATGCCGGATCGGAATGCCGGATCGGAATGCCGGATTGAATGCCGGATCGAACGCTTGTATCAGAATACCCGGGATGCTGCTTCGGCGGGCCCTGCCATCGCCCCCAACCCTCGCGAGTGCAGCATGCTGTGGCGATAGTCAAACGTAGAAGGCATAAGATAGTAGTATTCATAATAATAACTAGCTAATCTATATGATCATCTATATCAAAAGAAGAAAAGAAAAACAGCGAGAAAAGAACGAAATATATGTCTGCGGGCGTACGCGAGCTTAGTCATAAGTGAGGCATACGGCCGTACCAGTCCGCAATGGATCCGAGGCAACAGAGCAATCCGAGGCATACGAGAGATATGATGCTCGTGACATTTGCCTCTTAGGAATTAATGAGAGATATTGTGGATCTAAATTGTGCAGCGAGTACTTGAGCCCTGGGGTTGGGGTATAAATTCAGGTGTCAAGCCCAGAATTTCAAGATGGCATTGGTTCACAGTCAATCGAAATAATCAACTTAAAGTACCCTCTTGTTAAATCTTTTGAGAATAGCAACTTACTTCCTTTTGCCGTAGTTGCACCAATCCTCATGAGACATCTCTCTTTGATCACTTCACTTGGGCTCTTCGCTCTTGTTGCCAGCGGAATCCCGGCATTGGCAAGTTCACACTTAAACCATATCCCAAAACATAGCATGTGGACCCAATACGCTGACCATAAGAAAGAGATCGAGAGATGACAGATTTGGCTCCACCGACGATGGACAGAGAGATCCCAATGGATTCAGACACGTAGGCGACGATGGAATCTTGCGATACTTCAACGGCAATGGAGAAGTGCTTAATTACAAGAGGTTAGATAAAGAGCAGTTGTCTAACCTGGCATCAACGTATCCGGAGCCCGAGCATCGGGATCACTTGCACGATGTATGGAAGGACGTTAATAGCTCGACGGTTTCCTCTGAGCAAATCTGGAACCCGTCCAAAGAGTTACTTCCAGTTGTGCTGAAACAGCCAGAACTGCTTCAAGAGACGGGAGTCTCCAAGAAACCAAAAGCTCCGGATGTATTGAAACGCTCAGATGGCGGCGAAAATGTTAACTGCCTCGTTATCTCCTGTTATACTGACGGTGAATGCGCTGTGTGGGACTGCTGGTATTGTCTACATCACGACGAATTCATAAGTGGCATTTGCATGCAATGATACGTGTGGATGTCATTTTAAGAGAATGACCTGCACTCCAATAAATTCTGATATGCAAGAGCAATAGAATATTTCAAACTTTTAGAATCTCCCTTCGACATACCTTCACATTCTTCCTTGGCACGTAACTTTGTTGTATGTTATACCAAATGTAATCGCTTTAAGGACGACAGGGTAGTAGGCCACGCAACGGTTTTGGGTGTAGTATACGAACGTAGCATATTAAAGCCCATGACTCGAAGAGCTTTGTTTTGGTCTACGTTTGTTTATCAGAGAGAGCAGCAGGCGCAAGGGTATTTTCAATTTTCATGTTAGATTGGATGATATCATTTTTGAGGGCAAAAACTGGGAGTAGCCATTTTATTCAGCTAGTTTACATACAAATCAAAAAATGAAAGAGGAAATGGAGAATAAAAGCGCAAAAGAATCGTCTGACAATGAATGATTAGGGGTGTCTCACATAAACCGAACATTGCTTGATCGCCCTGGTCAATGAATTCAGTGGCGGCCATTAGTCTCCTGGATAGCTTCTAGCCGGAGAGACCTCTTTTCTCACTTTCCGAGAAGAAGATAATCATCCGCCAAAGTTTCTTGACCAGTACTTCTGCTTCCTCGTCTAGAGCCTATTTAGGTGAAAGGAAGTAATAATTAGCATTCGGTTACATATAACGTAATAAGACCATGGATATATCACATCAAATTTCGCTACGATGTTAAAAAAAGGGAAAGCACTTACCCCTTCCAACTGCTCCACTAATTCTTGAGGAGGTCCCCGTTTCCGGACATGCTCCTCCACTACGTCAACCAGCATTTGCTCCTGGACACCAAGGTACTCCATAATTTTCTTCTCGACGAACGGTTTCAGCTGTTCTCCCAACACGGACTCATCTACAAACTCCCAGTTGACTTGCCAGTTCCAGAGGCCCTCTTTGTCTGAGGGAATATCAGCAGCTAATTGCCGTGCTGCCTGGGCGCGCTCTTCATCCGTAAGACCAGCAGACTCAGCCGCAGTGTCGAACTTGATAGATGTAAGTGGTCGCTTGGTGGCAGCTCCCGTATCCTCCTCGTCTTCAAGGAGGCCCTCAACCTCTGCCACCGTTCTCCGGACGGTAGCTTGCGCCTTCTGTGCCGCGGCACCCAATGAGAGTTTGAAGCGTTGGGGTTCCCTTGGTACCTGGTTCCGGGTCTCCAACTCTTCGGCTTGCCGGGCGAGGAAGTCATCAGCCATTCCACGTACTTGGTCTCGTTGCTGTTGGGTCCTAGCCATCTCACGTTCTTCTGCAGCACGGTCCGCTTCATCCATGCTGACCTCTCTGTTCCTAAACGCTGCCCGATTCCGTATCCAGACTCCACGATCGGCATAGTACTCTTCCACTTTTCGACTAGCTTCAATGTCGTCATTCCATTCCCGCAGACGTTTAGCCATAATTTGTTTTTCCTCCTGTAATCGGATATCTTCTTCCCGATCACGATTCTTCTCCCGCTCCACGGCAGCTGTTCTACTACGTTCACGGTTTAGCCAACGCCTTTCTTGGTCCAGATATTGCTTTTCTGCTTCGACGGCCCTCTTCTCCTTCCGCCTTCTTTCAAGCTCTTCATCGCTTGCATCGGTGTCCTCGTCTTCATTGGCGCCATTGATTCCGCTTCCATTCACGAAGGATACTCCCTTCTGATAATCCCGTGGAATATGATGACCGAACCCTTTGGGAGCTGAGGGAGCATTTGGAATACCCCTATCCCGAGGCCCCAAAGGAATGCCATTCGCACCACCAGCAGGGCCACTTGGCGCCGTGGGAGGTGGTGATGTTAATCTGTTTGGCCTAGATCCCCCGGCCCTTGCCCGTTCTAGAGATTCGAGTTCTTCTTCTCTCTTCAATCGTTCAAGGTCCCGACGATTGCTTCTTTCACGGAAAGCTGCAATTTCCTTGGCGACAGTTTCTCGCATTTCAGCAGGAATATCCGACAACTCATCCTCTACAGTGATTGGAATCGTCACAACTTCTGCGGGAGTACCATCCTTTTCAGCCTCCCCGTCTTTCATTTCCGAGTCTCCCTCGCTATCAACCACTTGTGCAAGGGCATCTACTTTGGCAGGTGATGGTGGGTGGGTAAGGTCAGCCAGAACTTTGGCGAGAGCTGCTCTGGCCCCATCAAGCCGCGCTTGCTCGGCTTCGGGATTTCGCTCCGTCGTCGACTCGAACTGTTCTATGTACTTAAGAGAGCTATCATCGATAATAACCTAGAATATGTCAGTATCTTCCAAAATGATTATTCGAAATAATAAAATATACCAGAAGTTTGCTTTTATCAGGATCTTCTTCAACTTTCCCAACCTCCTTAGCCGGAACCGGCTTCTTCACCGGCACCTCGACATCTTTTAACACTTCTACTGCTGTGCTTAAGCTTTCAGGGTCCTCGTATTCTGCAAAACCAAACTTGCATGGCTTATCATCCGCATCAGTGGCCCGAATCCAACGTTTCAAATTTCCTGCCGTTCGAAGTATCAACTCGATTTCTTCGTCACTGCTGAGCCCTTCCGTTATGCCTCCAATAAATATGGTCCTCACAATCTCATCTTTCGTAGGTGGTTGAAGTTGTAGCATCGCATCTCGTAAATTCTGGCGTTGTGATTCCAAGGAATGTCCCCCGGGACCTCCACGCCTTCCACCAGATTCTCCTCCACGTTCTCGGCCGCTTTCCACAGGAGTAGCAGATTTTGGTGTGCCAGATGTACCGAGACGAATAACAGGCGCAGAGAAATTAATATTAGGCATATTTGGTGGCGGTTGAAAGTTTGGGGGGAATCCGCCAGGTCTGCCAGGTTGTTGCGCATTCGACTGCTGTGCGGCTGGTGGAGGGCCAGTCCCTGGCGCTGACATTCCGGGAGGAGGAGCTGGAAAGTAAGTTAGCCCAGATACGAAATAGAAAAAAGGAATACTTTATCATACCCATGCCTGGTGGTGCTCCAGGGAAGCCACCAAACTCCGGTGGCCTTCCGAATGGAGACGGTGCTAGAAATTATCAGCGTCATAGGATTTATAAGGGGGAAAGATGCCATTGACCGGACATGCCAAGCCATGAACTTACGTTGATATGGGTTGTACATCCTGTCCTGCACTTGAATCGCAAAGCGATAGAACAGGTAGGCGGTAAAGCACGGGGATTCAAATCCTAAACTTGTGATTCCGACGGTCAACAAGGAAAGGAAAGTATGGAAACGAATAAATGACTACACAAGCAGATGGTTCAGGTAATATGGGTAGATCGATTGTAATATACAAAGATAAATGCAGTTCCAGACGTGCTTGATTCGCAAACGTTGGTGGTTTTTCCAAAAAGAGATATGAAGGCGCTTAATATCACGTGATGTGGCGCTTAACTAGCGCCCAGTTCTCATCCCTTCAAAGGTACCACTAAGTTCTCGACAGCTGTTGGGTAAGTAATAGTAAACAGTTCATGTATGTAGCTATTAACTGAACACAAAGTTGATTACTGGCCCGGAATCTGTTGGCGAATTTGCTGTCCGTTGGCGTGCTACGAGGATTTTCCAACAACTCATCCTGGTAGACTCAACTACAACGGTTCATGAATTGCCATCAGCAGTTTAGCAATGCGATTTGTGTCCTTGTGCCAATAACAGTAAATGTGTAGTATAATCACCTCCAAGTATATGAGGTAATCCCTGGTAAGTAAGCTGCCAACCTACAAAGAGTCTGGAGGAGGATGCAGCAGCACAATACTCTACGTCACGGATTTGCGGACTGGCAGAAATACGCACAGGCTGATCTTGACAGAAAGCACCCAACCAGATCTTCTGCCTTTGAACAGAGACTCTATATGGTGAAACGCGCATCGAAGAGGAGTTTCTATCACACCAAAACCGCCACTTTGCTTATGGGCTGGGCAGCCGATGCTTCTCGGATTTGTCTAGATATCCACAAAAATTCGTAGAATTATTCTCAAAGGTTGTTCCAGCAATCCTATGGTGGCTTATTTTTGGGACGTACAGATGGATAGGAAGTGTGAATTGCAAAAACGAAATATCCCCCCCCCCGCGCATCTGTCGTTGAAATTTCCACAATTCTACCCATCTAGAATTTTCGGAAAAATGTTGCGACTGCTCATAGCAATAATGAATGATATGGCGCTAAATCCTCAGTTCGAAATGTCGAATTTTGTTTGCGAACACATTTGTGTTCTGCAAGGTGAGATCAGCTCGCGTTACATATGCGTTATCCGCCCAGGTACTCCGTTGTAGGGTAGGTAGTTACAATTCAAGGACACACTTCTTGCTGCTTACTGACTCCAACTTCGATCAGGAAACTGGATTCAAATCGCGCAAAAGTCCCTATGCTGCTCCCAAAAGTCAAAGGTGCTATGCTGTCACCCGAGAAGCTTCTGCCTCACCTCTGCGGCTTGCACCAAAGGAAATCTAACTTTCAGACTCCTCAATCCATAGTAATAATAATCATTATTATTGGGATGGAATGTTGAAGTGCCAAACGGCTTCGCTACTCGTTGGACATACCTCCTGGTTTATTTAAGCCTTCACACATTAGTTATGCTCATGATAACAATCTGACCAAGTTAGCGTCAGAACTTGCCAAAACACATATCATCGGGAAGGCTTGAAAATGGCCAATCAAACTCAAGAACCCCTCATTCATCTTGCATAACAGCATGGGTGACATGACTTAAACATGAAACGTTCTTTGACAGATATGGCTCACATGGTGTGACATGATTGGTCCTTTTTTCAGTCAGCAAAAGGAGGAAATTGCTTTGTTTTCGCTTTGGATGGTCATTGGACAGGACAACATTATAGACGGTTGGTAGGGTTATCAACATTTTACAGCTCCGGTCCCTCGATAATTAAAACAGGGCCCTAGATTGGTGGGTATTGATTAGACTTCAACCTACATCACCTTGTTTAGATGATGGACTGATGGGAATAATTTACAGGCCTCTGAAATTTGCGCAGGCTATGTCCGGTGCAGTCATATAAAATGGTTGTTCCTAATGGAAATGTAACTATCTTCGGGTTCACAAGCTGGCGCCATCCTGATCTCCCACCTTTGTATACCTAATTATCTGGGTACCTCCAAAATCGAACATGAAGGTTTATAGCTCGAGAACGCGAAATCCCTCAGTTCATTCGGCTATTCTGTAATGGAACTAGGCCCTCTCCAATAATGCTTAACTCTCCAGTTCCTGCTATGAATTAGATTAACACACACCCTTGCAGGGGCTTACAAGGTTGGTTCTACGTATTTCCGTGTTGCATCCCCCGATGTTTGGACAAGGGAGCCAGTGTGCCTTTATATAGGCGCAGTCCCTCGATTGTTTCCGTTGTTTCCTTTCCCTCTCAACATTTGATTCTCTTTTGGCAGAGCCACTATATTCTTGTGCCCCTGCTTTTTATCTTATATCCAGACACTCGTTCAACCCCTACGTTCATTATTTATTCCCAGGAGAAGTAAATCATCGTATCCCATTTTTGCTTCCTCGTCTTCGTTTCTTCACTCATTCAATATGCGAAATCAACTCCTTGCCTTTGTCTCCCTGCTTGCAACTAGCGCATTTGCTAACGATTGGACCCGCATCGGCACTGCTGTTCACGCCGTCCACCCCCTGAGAGCGCGCCAGGAGGGCGGAGGCTCGTTTAAACCTGACCAGTCCAGCGGCTTTGGGGATAGCTGCTCATCCGCCTTCGGAAAAGACTACGTTCAGTGTGCAGCGACGGTTTGTTACAATCCCAAAGCAGGGCATACTTGCTGCTCTGGAGAATGTATGTGATAATCGCGTAGTAAACTCTCTGTACTACGACGAACTGCTAACATGTAATTTCCAGATGCCTGCCCAGGAAATTCCTTCTGTCTTACTGCCGGCTACTGTTGTCCCAATGTGAGCCTGTAGATGCAAGAGAGTAAAAGGAAAGTAAAGTAACTCATCATCTTCTAGGGCCTTGACCGCGAGAGCTGCGCTAAGAAACTTGGTTTGTCCGCTCTACCTACCACTGTTGCTCCCACGAAGACCGCCTCCTCGACTACCGCTTACCCGACGACTCCTCTGCCAATAACTACTCCTTCGCCCACCAAGATCCCAGTTAAGAGCCCAGTTTCAACTAAGCCCAAATCCGCATGTTACCCCGTTTACCATCCCCACCCGAGCAAAGGATTTAACCACACGGTTATTCCCACAACCGGCACTTACCCAACCGCAACACCCCCGCCGTTCACTGGAGCCGCCAATCCACAAAACGTTGCTACCGGTGCTGTCGCAATCCTTGGTTTTCTTAGTTTTCTTCAGAGCCTGTTGTAAGCACCCACAGTAAAGTAACGTCTTTGCTGACCACTCTTTGTCTGCATAACACTGTGTGGGCAGATGTGGGCAGATCGTCGACACATCTTGGTTTTTATTTCATTTTTGTTTCTTTTTCTTTTTCTTTTTTTTTCCCGGATACTTAATTTCCGCAGGTGGAAATAGCATGAATTTCATAAATGTCTCTTCTCTATGTTCCCCCCCCTTACTATTCTCCTGTTGCAAATACTTGATGTAACACCAGATTATTCTGATCCTACTTCACTCTACCCTGCTCCTTCAACTTGGGTAAAACATATCAGGCCTCTCGTATTTGAGTTTTGATCACAATAGCTTTTGTGGGAATACTGGGCTTAGGTGAAGATGCTCACCACAGGACGAAACTTGCTGGGGAAGACAAATTTATCTGGAATTATTTATTTTTTATTTTTTAATTTTTTAATTTTTTTAATTTTTATTTTAAGGAAAAATAGATGGAAAAATGAAAGAAATATAAATTTCTTCACCCTAGGGACTTCCCATCAATCCAGGGATGGAAGTCTCCCCAGGTTCGGGCCGATTAGGTTCGGTTTCAGGTTAGCGGCTTCGGCCCGATAGAGTGCCAAGATTGCTGCTGTAAGCTAACCCAAAATGGGACTTCAGCGTGATTTAACTCCCTGCCATCAAGATCGGTCCAACATCATCATCTTTCAAGTATTGTTGTTCTAGTGATTGTACAAAGGCAACTTCTATACTCCAAGCGAGAGCAATATATTTTCTTCCCCCCTATCGGTGTATTAAGTTCTCCTTCCAGTGCAATCGAAACCGTATCAGCCAGCTCCGAACATCGCCGCTTCAAGATATGATTGAGCCGGCTTTTAACAATATCATGGCCTGTACCGACTCTATGGATTAATGGCATCAGGCGTACACAGCCCCTTCTTGAGACACAATCATAGTACTGGTCGTCCTGGAGTCTGGGTACGATTCCATCCTATCCACTCTACAAATCCGATGAGAAACTAGTTACCGCGTTTCACTGTCTCCCGAGACCGGACATGAGATGAGACATGACGATAAGACATGCTTCGTGAGCTCATAGAGGATCACTACTCACTCTGTGAACTCATACCAGGGCATTCATATATAGCCAATGCTCCCTCAATTTCCGGGCAGGGCCTGAAACGTCTACCTGTCAGCTTGTCCTTGGGGTGATGGGTGTAAGGAAGACCTTTGCGCACAGGAATTCACTCATGAACGTGCCTGGGTATATACCATATCAGTGGCACTGATATACATGTTTTACCAACCAAGCTCAACTAATCTCCATTGTGCCTGGGATGGACCTCAATCAGTCAGAAAACAGACTTCTGAACATTATTTCAGTTGAAGGTTAATCATACTTTCGCAATTTCACTTTGAGATCTTAGTCGACTGCAGGGTTTTATGCTATTAGGGATATTACAACCCTGATCATGGTCCTCTCCATATTCTATGAAGTAAGACCAAAAGAATTCACAAGAAAGCAGATAGATAACTCAGGAAACGAAATTAAAATGCTGCTTTTAAAGTCCTTCTTGAGTTACTATTTTAGTCCCGATAGTTAGCCAATTAAGGTCGAAAAGACGAGGAGCTTAGCTACAACTATTTTCTTTGAGAACCTCAGGAAGGCCCGCCACAGGAACCCTAGACTCCACAGTTAGCGACCAGATAACGATCGCTATGTGCCCCATCCTTTGGTCGCCAACGGGTATCCACGTTCAGTGGATTCCCTATTAGGGCTGTACAGCACTCAGCGACGCAGAGAAATTCCTCGTATTAGTTATTAGGTTCTCTTCTTTCAGGATTTGCAGCTTTCAACCATCCATGCATTGGTCAATGTAATGGCTGATATAGATATGGAGAAGGAAGTTTACAAGAATGATGACAGCAATGCTAGGTCAACCTCTGGGAACATCGAAGTTGTCCCCAGTAGCATGACCTATTCCCCAGATTTGCTGTGAGTCATTTTAGTTTTGGAATAGTTTAATCATCAGAAAATCGGCATTGCAAATTTTGTCCAGCTCGCTACCTATGTCAGCACTTCTTCTACTCTATATAACATCTGTGGAAACAGACATTCCAACCAAATATGCTTTTTGTCTCATTTTCCTCGGAGCTCTCTCCTCTGAAACATGAAGCCCTAAATTTGCCACTTGTACTTTGTTATGCGTGAGCACAGAGGATACAGGGTTTTGGCTATACATATGAAGAAGGTTTGGTGAATATAATTTTGGTAGTTAACTAATGACTAGCAACCTTGGACTCGGTGGGATGGTTTGCATGCTCTGAACACAGAATATTAGCCTGTGCAAGAAGTGGATAGAGTAAAGCAAAATGAGGGAACGTTTCTCCATGAATCGTCCGACGAATGACTTCATCATGTCTTATCATTCCTACCTAAATATCCCCTGTTGGTAGAAAATTAGTAGCCCAGGGTGAGTAAGTTAAAACCATTGTTGCGTGAGGATGATACAAATAAACATAGTGACTAGTAGTCTTGATTGGCTCTAGACGTGGGTCAGTCATTATTATTAAACTGACTGTGAAGAGAACTGGGGCATTGCCTTACCCCGAGTGGCTCCCCCCAACACACTCAACAGACATCACCCACATCTTGAATCTCACTAACCTCACTTTACACACAGGAAATCTCCCAACATAAATCAAATAGCGGGCAGACCTCTCTTACCTTAGTGAATTCCTCTTTGCCTACCTTTGCGACTGTACTGTGCTCGATTGAGTTTCCTGATCGCCAGAAACCTTCCTGCTATCCCCCACCCAATCCCACCGATTCTTTTCAAACCCCGCCCAACACCGTCAACACCGTCAACACCGTCACCCGCAAACACATTCAAACGATGGCGAGCTTTCCGGAAGCCAGCAATCTCAATGCCTGGAAGGCTCTTCAGGAGCATTACAATTCTACAGGCCGAAACATTACTCTAAAGGATGAATTCAAAAAAGATGATCTACGCTTCCAGAAGTTCTCCCATACCTTCGTCAACACCGCCGACAAGTCCGAAATCCTCTTCGATTTCTCGAAGAATCTCATCACAGAAGAGTCCATTACCCTGCTGATACAGCTCGCAAAGGAGGCAGGTGTAGAGAAACTCCGCGATCAAATGTTTAATGGCGAGCCTATCAATTTCACCGAGGATCGGGCCGTATATCATGTTGCCCTGCGCAATGTAAGCAACCAGGAGATGCGGGTCAAAGGGAAGAGCGTGGTCGAGGAAGTCAATTCTGTCCTGAACCATATGAAGGAGTTCTCTGAGCAGGTTAGGAGTGGAGAATGGAAGGGATATACAGGAAAGAAGATCAATACCATCATCAACGTTGGTATTGGAGGTTCAGATCTGTAGGTTATCGGATGCGTATTTTATTATCACCTCCATAGAAAATCGTCAGCATGAAGTTAATGTATTTGCTAACCACTCTACAGTGGCCCTGTTATGGTAACTGAGGCATTGAAGCCCTATTCCGATAGGAACCTGACCCTCCATTTCGTCTCAAACATTGATGGCACCCACGCCGCTGAGGCTCTGAGGGATTCTGACCCTGAGACCACCCTCTTCCTGATCGCTTCAAAAACATTCACCACAGCCGAAACAATCACCAACGCCAACACTGCCAAAGCCTGGTTCCTTCAAAAAGCCAAGGACACCGCCCATATTGCAAAACATTTCGTTGCTCTCTCCACCAACGAAGCTGAAGTCACCAAGTTCGGCATCGACAAGAAGAACATGTTCGGCTTCGAATCATGGGTTGGCGGTCGATATTCCGTCTGGAGCGCAATCGGCCTATCCATCGCTCTCTCGATTGGCTTCGATAACTTCCACGAATTCCTTGCTGGAGCGCATGCCATGGATAAACACTTCCGCGAGACCCCACTGGAGAAGAACATCCCCATCATCGGAGGCCTCCTGAGCGTCTGGTACAGCGACTTCTTTGGTTCCCAGACTCACCTCGTCTCCCCCTTCGATCAATACCTGCACCGCTTTCCCGCCTACCTCCAACAACTCTCAATGGAAAGTAACGGGAAAGCCGTCACCCGCACAGGAGACTATGTCCGATACAGCACGGGACCCATCGTATTCGGTGAGCCGGCAACCAATGCTCAGCACAGTTTCTACCAGCTCCTCCATCAAGGCACAAAGCTCATCCCGACCGACTTCATTCTGGCGGCGCAGTCTCACAACCCCATCGAGGGCGGGAAGCACCAGACCATGCTCGCATCCAATTTCTTCGCCCAAGCCGAAGCGCTCATGATAGGCAAGACGCCAGAGCAAGTCAGGGCTGAGGGTGCGCTCGGGAATCTAGTTCCACACAAGACCTTCCTTGGAAACAGGCCCACGACATCGATACTTGCACAGAAGATTACGCCAGGTACACTTGGGGCGCTGATTGCTTACTATGAGCATGTTACTTTTACGGAGGGGGCGGTGTGGAATATCAACTCGTTTGATCAGTGGGGGGTGGAGTTGGGGAAGGTTCTGGCGAAGAAGATTGAAAAGGAATTGGAGACTGAGGGCGAAGGGGGTGGGCATGATGGCTCGACTAGCGGGTTGATTGCTGCTTATAAGAAAAAGGCTTCTCTGTTGAGGGAGGTCGAAAAATTGACCTGCAGGTTAACCATTGAGAGGAAATGAAACATGAAAAATGAAGAATTAAGGAGAGAAGGTTTGCTTTTCTGTTCACCCTTATATAACTGTATATTTAAGTAACTATATATCAAGAAAAGCAAGTTACTTGAGTTCAGTTCCCTGTCTTCCCAAGGTTTTTCGCCGGCTTAAAAGCTGCAGGCTTCTGTGTCTCCTGCTCGATGCCGTAACTAGTCATTAACCGCTTCCCATCCATCTTATGGTGAGTATGTTAGCAAAATAATAATTAATAAAAGATGAAGTGATTAAAATGACCTACATCCATCCCTTTCCCCCAATCTGAACTCTGTAGTATGAATTAAGTCTCAATATTCAACAAACATTTCTTGTGCCTCTTACATTCTTGTGCCAGGTCCGCTAACCTACCGCTACGACACATCCACCAAACCAATTAGACACCGCACCCCTCAGATTTATTTACACGTATAGATTTTTATCTTCCTCTCCACACATTTACTCTCCCTCCCCCACGGCCCTTACATTCCACATCAGAGCATATGTACATATAATGTCGTCGCAGCCACCGGGCATTCCCTCACTTTGCCGCAAATATGTCCTTCCTTTGATTCTGGTGAGCAATGCAGTTGTGAGCGGCCGCGTTGGCGCTGCAGCGAAATCAACGTTGGGCTATGTGCAAGGCCAGAGTATCCCAGTTAGTTGTTTGAATAGAGATATGTGGGTGATAATTCTTTTATTAGAAAGGGAGGAGTTTGCCTCAGGGGGAGACTGAGATTTTTTGCTAATCAGAGGTTAATTAATATATAGATCAACGGGAGAACATGTATGTGCAGAAGCACCTGATAACAAGTCTTTTCAAAATCAGATAACTATCTAGCCAGCTCCACAATACATACGTGCTTTCATATATAGTCCATCACTGATCCCGCTGCCAAACACAAATAATAAAACCAGATCACAGACCCGTCTGGAAAACTCCAATACATTCCCTTTCCAACCTGCAACGAGACCGCTGCCCCACTCTCCTTCCGCTACGGCGTCTCCGAAACAATAACCTGCACCATCAATTCGCTCTCCGACTCTCTCTACCACCTGCTAGAATACTACGTCCACTATGACGTACCGCTGACATGCCGAATACCCACCTTTCCGCTATCCTCGCTGCGCTATCAAAACAAGATCGCTGGAAGTAGCGGCGAAGAGAAACATGACGATGTTGTGAATAATAGCCTGCCATTCTCCTCCCAAACGCCTTTTACGCCTCTGACGATTGCGCTGCAGGGGACACTGCAACTGTCCCACTTACATATCTGGACGGAGATGAATGTGCTCATGCATAAGACTGCGCAGTTATCGCCTGGTTTTATATCTGGCTGGAAGAAGTCAAAGAAATCAAAGAAAGATACGAAGAAGAAAGTGAAGGGAAGCAAAAGGGATAAAATATCACCCCCTCAAGGACAGATTGTGGCCGGTTCGGCCTATTCTGTGCCATTGGTTCTACCCGCTGCTGCTGATGAGGAGGATGACGTTGATAGCGCAAATGACAAGAAGACCAGGAATAAGAAGGACATGATGGATCCCTGGACTACAGAGGGAGGCACGAAGGTAATTTGCGGCGAGCCTCTTGTCTTTACCTTTCGGGTTGGGTGGGTATCTCACGGCGATGTGCTTGGGTTGGTTGGTGCAGAATCCTCATCGTCTTCTCCTTCGTCGACTTCAGGAAGCGGATTATTCATTCAGGTGATGACTATCTGCTTTTGGGTTGGGGTTGTATTTGGGCTGGCAGTTGCTGTGGAGAGGGTTAGGCAGAGGAAGAGGGGTAGATATAAGGGGGATGGGATTTTGGGGCATAGACCGTTCTTTGGTGGCCTTGGTGCGGCAGGCGTTGGGGGGAGCGGGGTAGTTGGCTTTGGGGGGGATAAGGGGAGGATGAATGGGTATGGGTATGTGTTAGGGTTGAATGGTGGTGGGAATGGTAGTGGAGGGGTATATGGGGGATATGGAGGATATGGTGTTGGGAAGAATGACTGAATGTTTTTTTTTTTTGTGGGTGGGGGCAGCCATTTTAGGTATATTTTGTTGGGTTGCCTTTTTGCTATATACTTTAGATGTTACGTCTTTTTAGCATTTGCATATGATGGGTAAATGAACTGAAGATATATCTCAAGGTGGAGCTATATACATCCATGAATTTGGAATGAATGTTACGGCGGGCTGCGGATGATTCAACCCTGATATATAAATTCCTAAAAAAAATGTTCAAAGTTACATGAAACCAAAGGGAAGTATTGCAATTAAATGTCAATTTCGAAATCCTAATACATCAGAAGAGTGTGTAGAACATATCTATACATACCAAGATAATGTACCCTGTATAAGAAAAAGTCACCAAACTCGTATTAACATAACGAAAGGAAAAGGAGACAACATATTCTCCCTTACCATCAACGATGTTGTATGCCGACGGCAATCATAAACCGGAAAACAACCTCCATTGGCTACCACCCCTGCTTCCTCAATTGCTCACACCTCCTCAACGTATGCTGAAACGACATCTTAAACAATCTCCGCCACCTCTCCCTTCTCAACTCCTTCTTCAACTGACCCCTCCTCACATGAAACCGCTGCTTCATCATCATAGACTTAACCCTATTCCTCCGAACTCTCGTCTCCATCATCTGGAACGCCGCCGCGACATCGATACCGGCGTTCGGATCCACAGACACCGAACGGCCCAGCTCTGGACCTAGGCGCAAGTTGATGGTGGGCACGCGTGACTTCTGCGATTGGCCGAGGCCCTCGCGCACCTGTCTGTACATGGCTTCATCTTGAGATGTTCGCGGTTCGAAAGGGTTGGTGGATTGTCGGGGTTGGTTGGAGCGTGGTATGAAGTTTTCTAGGACTTCTGTGACAAGGGTAAGTTTGTCATCGTTGCTGCTGCTGCTGGTGGAGCTTTTTGATTCTACAACTCCCGGCGGCCAGGGTTTAATGGGAATATTAAAGCGTTCTTGCAATTGGGGTTGTTTGTGGGAGGAGGTTGATTTGTTTTCAGATATCTCTTCGGATTCTGCAATCGAGGCTGGGGTGGCCTGTCCGGAGGCATTACGGGGTGGTGAGGTGCTGAGCGGTCTTGCGACGGAGGTAATTGATGCGGAGGAGCAGGAGAAATGACTGGGGCGGAGGAGATAGCGGCGGGAGGAGGACAGGTGAATTATGGACCGAATGATTTGGCGAGTCTCCATGTTGGGTGTGCCACTAAGAAAACAATTGGCAAAGTTGGGAGCTTAGCTGTTTGTTTATCCCCGTTGGATATTGAAAAGTCGAGATAATTTTTGAAGATATTTTTTGACAGGTCACGTGATATAACTAATGGTTTGGTCCAACAGTCAATTGTCGCGCAGGTAGTCCTGAAAGCAATAGAAACTTCATTTACGAGAAATATAAAGAGAGAAACGTTATCCTGCGTCTAGTGTTAAGTGTCTTTCTTTTGGCTTTACTTTTCCATTTCCGTTTTTTTGCTCCCGTCCATAACTTAAATCATGTCGACAATCACCATCGCGAACCTCAATCGAATGGACCGCGATACCCTCGCCGGCATGCTCCTCTCCCCAAGCAATCCTTCAAAGCTTGCAATAGTGGATGTTCGTGATTCAGGTGAGGGTTATTTTTTTTATTTTTTTTAATTTTTTTTTTTTTTTAGTTATGCGCTGAATTCTTCCATTTGCATAAATGCAAGTGATGACCTAGCAAATCCATTACCCTTCTGAAGCCCCAAACCCTCTCCACTTCCTCTACCAGCACTGCAAACCCTCACTGCTTGCACATCAATAACGTTGTCATAGATCACATCGGAGGTCATATCTTCTCTTCAATCTGGTGTCCCAGCTCAACATTAAGCCTCCACATGGCAAATCTCATAAATAAGCTGCGCGACAAAGAGAAAGTCGTGTTTTATTGCGCACTAAGCCAGGAGCGGGGTCCCTCCGCGGCGCTCAGGTATCTGCGAGAACGGGAGCAGGTTCTCAATAAAGAAGAGTGTAATAAGCAGACCGTGTATGTCTTAGACGGCGGCTTTGTTAAGTGGCAGGAGAAACATGGGGATGATAAAAGGTTGACGGCGGACTATGTTAAGGATCTCTGGGATGACTAGTGAGGGTTGGATCAATGGATTGGGGGAGTGCATATTATGCGCTAAAAGTCTTTTTTTAATAACTTATAGGTGCTTCGGTTTGACTTGGGCTGCATGATATATGAGATATGGGTCAGACAAATGGACAATGGGTTAGAAAGATATACGCATGGAAGGTCGATGGACATCCATCTGGGCAGGAGTTTCTTGGAATATGCTAAGTATCCTTGGAGACAACGAATAGGGTCTCGGGAGCTTAGTGATTTTCAAGGGTGACTCCAGCTTCAATCCAACAGCTTGGGGGGAGAATAGTCATGGCTGGAACCCCCGAGGATTAATTTCTCCGAACCCTTTTTCTTTTCTCTTTCTTTTTTTCGAAACTAACGGAAAAAAATCAAAAAACGCCTTATTAAGAAGCGCACCAATTTATAGCAGCTGGCTTGTTTTTAATATAAGCTGATTTCGATAGCGAGCCTCTAGACAATTTATATATGCTCCATACGCCGTTCCGGGCGAAGAAGACATTCAACTGGAATGGAAGTTAAACAATGGTAGCTGGTGCAAAGGATATATAATTTACAGCGGATGTAAATACAGATACAATCTAACCCCTCCCCACCCTCACATCCATACCAACAACTACCCCAAAACACTCACCCCAAATCCAACGGGCCTCCTCCTCCCCCCACTCTCCGGCACGATAGCCAGAGCTTTATACAACTTGCCCATCCCCCCACCTCCCCTCTCCACCAACCTCTTCCACCCGCTCTCAATCCTCTTCCTCTTCTCCTCCCCCCCCTCCCCCTCAACTTTCGTCAACAACTGCGACGCTCTCTTCGAAATCCCCAACGCCTCCAAAAACTGACACTGCTCCACTGGCCCATACACCTCCACACCAGGACTAGCGTCAATAGCTGCCTCCGCTAGCGCGGTAAAATCTACATTAGCGCTGATGTCGACCTGCCCCGGTACGGCGAAGGGAGAAACGAGTTGGTGTTTCCGGATACCACGGAGGGAGTTTATGGGGATTGTTGATGTGGTACCGTAATCGAGGATTAGAGCGGCTCCGGATGGGACACGTTTCTTGTTTGATTGTTCTGAAGAGGAGGAGGAAAAGGAGCCCCCTATTCGCCGTGCGATATCTTGGGCGCACGTCTGGCCTTCCGGGCTTATTTCTATAGTTGACCCAGGAGTGGATTTCATAGCTTTATAGCGCGGAGACATTTCGGGGAGGACGAGGGAAGATGGTGTAGGTGATTTAGCAAGTGAGAGGTGGAATTCGGGCTCATTTCCGCTTTTCAGTTCGGGGATCTCGGGGTTGGGGGAAACGACGAGCTCTCTCCATTGAGTGGCGGGAGAGCTAGAGGTGGCTGGCGGGTTGTGAAGGGTAGCAGGACCGGTAGGTGTGTTTATGGTCTGCGAGCGGGGTGGTGTCTCTATAGACTGGAATGCATGGATGGGGAGCGCATCGAAAAACTCGTGGGCAAATATGAAGGGGGTTTTATCTGGTTCTGGATGGAGGGGTAAGGGTTAGTTATCATATATCACGGACAAAAGAATAGGTCAAGATGGCAGGATCTTCACCGTCGGGGAGTAGCTTAATATGCTCGGTCCAAATTACTGGAACACCCAGGTGGACACTTGTACTTTTATATCCAACCTCTATCTCTTCCGTTGGAGCGTCTCCGCAGAGAAGTTTATGCTGAACCTCTCGCAGAACGGTACTAGCTTCAACCAGATAAACAGCCTCAATCGCCGACGCAAAGGTCTTGAAATTGCGAATAGACTACCAGTCACCACATTGTATCAGCGAGATTTCCTGCAAAATCTCCTCTCTGGGAAAAGGAAACAGAGCACCCACCCTCAGCATATCCGCCATAAGCGTCCCCTTCCCCGGCCCCAGCTCAATAATCTGCACCCCGCCTTTCCTTCTCCCTTGTCCCATCCACTCCGCCACAGTCCAAATGCCCAGCAACTCGCCAAAAATCTGCGAAATCTCTGGTGATGTGACGAAGTCTCCCTTTGCACCAAAAACTTCCGTGCCCTCCGCCTCCTGGCCGCGGGATGTGTAATATCCGCCGTCCGGGGACGTGAGGCATTGCCGCATATAAGCTGCAATGGAGATAGGGCCCGTAACCTGCGGGATTGTTCGAATTTGGTTAGAACACAATAAAACTATTTTCTGGTAAATTACGGCAAGGTGAGGTATGCGCACGCTTATAGCTTCAGCAATGGTTTTTGCGAGCGGGGTGGACCATTGCCGCGGAGCGGAGTCTGGGGCGGAGGTGGATGACCACCGGACCAGATGAATTTTTGCATTGACACCTCCCAGTCGAGGATACCGGCCTGCTCTCGCTAGGCGTGATAGGAGAAAGCAAATGGATCCATTGCTCATCTTCAATTTAGATGGGCTCACTGTCTTCACTGCAATGAGGATTTGCTGTATTTTCTTGTAATAGATGTTTTGGTGAGGTTGAGATTCGGAGGCAGTTGCTTGCAACGGTTTGCGCTGCGCCAATCAGAATCACCAACAGCTATGCGATGCGAAACAGCATCCTTACCTTTGATATATTAGTATATTGATGATTAAGAAAAAGTATTACGTTCGTTTGAATAATAAGTTGTCGAATGACACTTTATTTTAGGATTTTATTGTCATTGTATGAATTCCTCGAGCAGAGTCAAGCGACAATGTTGGGCCTGCAAAGATTCTGAAGAAAAGGTGTAAATGGTAAAGGAGAGAACAAGCTCTAAAAGGATATGACAACCTTCCATAATATGATACAAAAAAGCGTTCATTCATTAAATCTAGCTACGCGTGGCATGTCTCTTCCATACGCTATTAGAAAGCAACCTTGCACCATTCGCACCACTATCCGTCAAATAACTAGAAGGCTCTTGATCTCCACAGCCTTTTTACTATTTGCTGTGAGACCATATCCATAAATCCAAGCCCATATTGCCCAAATCACATAAGAACCTTGCGGGTTGGGCTACCATCAAGCACAATCATGTTCAAATTGCCCAGTCCCCACCTAATTTCATGTCGAAATAATAAAAACCTAGCGGGGTTTTAAATCATCCCACAGCAACAAACCAATCGCATCTACCTACCCCGTCCCTCACGATTGCGCGATTCGCTACCAGGCTTATCGATAACCATCCGATCACTGTAAAGCCCTGTGTCACCGTTCCCGGAACGTTGACTCCTCCCCAATCCGCCCGTCCCGGCTCCAGACCAGCTTCGATCTCTTCGTCGACCGCCTGCTACACGAGCATCGCTTGCACCTCCTCTGTGCTGCTGCTGACTGAATTCATCAAAGCCATAGCGGCCATCTTGGATCTGCGGATCAGCGCGTCGTTGTTCACGCTCACGGCGTTCGCGGTCCGCTTGTTCGCGCAGATTTTCGAAGTTAGGTTGGGAGCGATGGTGGCGTAGGGGGGTTTGGTCGTTTGTTTCAGTGGGTATTTGGGGAGTGGGTCCTGGCTTTATTCGAACGCTGAGGATTCTTCCATCCGCCTGGAAGAAATTGGGGGATTGTGTTAGTTGCATTTTTGTGCCTTTTTAGGCAAAGTTTGAGACGCGCGATGGAGATAAAATTACCTTTTGATTGTTGAACCGTGCGACTACAGCCTCAGCACCGCTTCTCTCCTCGAAAACCATCTCAGCAACCACAATGGGGTGGGTGGACACAATCCTGCAATTCAGCATTCGCCCTCCTACGGGTTCTAACGCTGACTCGATATCTGCAGCAGTAGTGCCTGGAGCAAAATTGCTTCCAAGAACCATACAGGGTCCCGAAGCGGTTCCCTTGATGCTATAACCTAGTCCCTGATTCTGAACTGAAGCCTGACCGTTTTCTGGAAAGAGATCAGGGACTGTGCGATTTAGCTTGGAGGGGTAGGTAGGTAGGGCACTTGCGAAACTTCTGGTCGCGGGCGCTGCTGATCTCTGTATGTCCTGTTAGCGATTGCGTACTGTAAACACACGCCAGATCTCTTATAAAGGACTGTAGTACCTTTGAAATTCCCGCTCTACTTGCAAGACTACCAGGTGCTGCAGACACTCTATCTGCCAAAGCGCCTGAACCCGAACCTAAACCTGAGCCTGGACCCGGGACTGGTGCACTGGATCGCCTTTTGGTCTCGAAGAATTTGTCTGTCAAGGCCTGTTTCCTGCGTCGCTGGCGAGCTAGTGGCAATAGAATAAAATGATATTAGCTAATTTCCTCTCTAAACATAGCGCAAGCCCTACATGTGTGTACATGCACATACCGGCCTGAATGATCTCATCGAATGAGACAGCTTGTTTTCCCGCAGCCATCGAAGCGTCTTAAAACGTATTCGAAGCTGATATTCTGGAAGCAGTCAGGGAATCCTTAGAAGATGCGTATGAGCCTGCAATGGACAGACTATACTGGCTTGTAATCAATGGTCTTTCCAACCAAACAGATTATTCGTTTGCTGTGTCGTAGAGTGAGTTCAAGGTAACTAATGCGCGTCTAAATAAAATGAAATTCTAGAGCCGCGCGGTTATATATGGAACTATACCTTATATGCTCTAGCGTTTCCATGCAAGGGTTTCGATGTATAATAAGCTACTCGATACAGTTCTCCAAACAACCAAAACATCCAAAATCATAAAACACAACCATCCACGGATTGAAGAGCTCCAGAGAGTCAAAATATACTTCTTTTGATGTCATCCAAAGTATGGTTTTGTCGTCTTTTGGCAAAAAGACGTATCAATGACGTCTTTAAATACTTTTTTTCATTTTTCCTTTGACTGATCCGAAGCTGTTGCCAGACTGTTGCGCAGCGGGAGATCAGTCAGTTTCTAGAGTTCAAGGTACCTAGATGTGCATGCTAATTTTTGCTGACGATAAGGTACCTCCAGCAAAATCAAGGGCGGCTTCCTAACACGGAAATGCCCTTCTACTGCGTACCTTGGGGCTTTGAGCCATCATCCATCTAAATTCAACTTCATCAGAGTTCAGAGTTCATCTTCATGTTCATCCATCTCTGATAATTAACTATCAGTCTCACCAGCTTCTTTAGCTCGTTATACTCACCTGCTTCAGGAACCCCTTTGTTTCCCCTGTCCCCTTTGACGTGTCTGTCGTTGCCCCTTACTTTCCTGCTTCTTGTTCTGCGCAGCATTCCCACCGGATACCAAAGCCTATCTATCCATACTCGTGGACCCTCATTTAGCTTCCTGCATTCTACATTCTAGCTTACCTCTCTACTTCATGTTCATGATACCCCGGATTCGGAACGACTTACACATCTAGTTTTCCACCTTGTAAAACGTGTTCTGTCCCTTGTCTCTGTCGCCAATATGACTTTCATTTGGGGCCGCCAGACCAGCAGTCCGGAGTGTCGACCGGACGAAGGTGTCTCAAGAAGACGGTTCTCGATGAGATCACGACGTGGGAGGAAAGAAACTAGGGTAGAAATATCTACCCAGACCTCACAGTAAGTTTCCACCTAGTCAACTCACGTCTTAGTTATGTTTCTGATATCCTGTGGGGCTTGCAGAATGCGTGAAATAGACTGCTTAGAGATACGCCATTATCCCAAATTTGATCCTAAGGATCCCAGGCACAACTCAGCCCTCTTGGTTAAGAAGAATAAAGGTAAGGGGATCTGGGCCTTCTTTACCCAGTCAGTAAAGCCACGGCTTTACGGCTCCCTCAGACCTAGGAAGCCTGTAACCAAATCTCCAAGTTGCCCACCAAAGCCCCGCCGGAGCATACGGTTAAGTTTTTCAGTGACGGCCTCACGGCTTGTTAAACGTTCGCGCTCATGTAAAGCTCCAAAACCACATCTGAACTCAATTTGGCCCCCTCAAATCACGAGCCACATTGGGCCACACGAGCCAGTGCGCTCCTGTTGGTCAGACCAAATCGACGACTCCCAGGATTTAGATATTCCCGGCCCTTCCGCTGTTCCCGGGCATTTCCTTCTGCCATCTCTGTCATCCATGTCATCAGGGCTGATTTCCCCCTTAGAATTGGAAGCTTGCATGTCCAACGCACATACAGAGCAGGATATTTCTCTCCGTCAAATGAATATTCGTCGATTCCACGCATTCAATCCGACTCACGATCCCTATCTCACTGTGAAGACTGCTCTCTCCCTGGCTGGTGGTCACACCCTAACTCAGTCGTATCAGGGATATGAAAATGTTTCGGATTGCAATGAGCTTTCTGAGGCTCGCGTTCCAGCCGTTCCAAATGAAAGTGCCTGCCATGACCGGGTTTTGAATCCCATATCCGAAAGAGATGGTTCGCCAGGGCCTGTTACTCCAAAACGTTCCCCGTTAATCCGCGAACAAGCTCACGAGGTAAATGGAAGAGATATTGAGAAACTGTCTGCTTCGATAAGCAAACAAATGCATTCTCAGTCGTCCACTCCTACTAACTGGAGAGTAAAGGAACTGAGCACCACGACTGAATCCGAGAAAAGTGGCCCGAAACTCCCCCCTCTCTTAGACCTGGGTGAGAGCTGGCTAGAAATCCGAAATGAACAAGAACAATCGCGCGTAGCAAGTACAGGGATTTCACAACCTAGCACAGCTACTGATTCCGAATTTGGAGAAGATATCTACCGCACGTCTGCGAATCAACAATATACTTCTTCTCCAAGGCGTGATGGTAACCTTATGACCTGGCTATCATCATTGTCAAGCACCACTAACACGCGTGACAATACAGACGTTTCTGGAAGCACCCTATGCCGTTCCGTTTCACCCTCAGCAAGGAACCAGAACTCATGCAAACCAACGGAATCATTCCTAGAATTGAATGTATGTGAAAAGGGTGCAAGCCCTGAGAAGCGTTCTCCCGAATCCGATATACGGCAATATAGTGGATTGATGCTTCGCGATAAAGTTGCCGGTAATAACAGCCAAGATGCGCCCTCTATATCCAACTCTCGATCTGGAGAACCTCTAGAACTCACCAGCAATGGGAAACCTTCCGACATCACATCAGGAACAAGCCCTTTCCCAGAGCTTAGCATGCCTTTTGAGATGCCGAAATCCCACCCTAACCTCCAGAATAACTCAGCAGATACCACAGAACAGCTTTCAATCATCCTAAGAGAACATCTGTGCGAAAGCAATCCTGAAACGTGTCTCGACAAGACAGCTTTCTGGTCCGCATCGATTGACTCATGTATGGAAAACTCTAATCCAAATCATCTTGAACCAGGGAACACCATTATGCCTCGTCAGTGCGTTGATGGATACAACAAAAAAAATTATGAGAACCCCAAGTTGAATACAGAAAGCCAACACACAGCATCCTCTTTCGCAACGATAACCAAAGCTCCCAGTCAAAGTGAAACCGCACAGGCAACAGCTGCTTGCCAAGACACAACAAAAAGTCTCATGACCTCCATCAACAAACCACTTCACCTGTCTGCCAAAACCCAGTCTCCTGACGCCGAAGAACGACCAGTCAACTGTATTTCAAGTGATAGCGATTCCAAAACCTTCCCCAGTCGCAAAGATGGATCAAGCAGTGGATCCGGATCCGGATCCGGATCTGGATCAGGCTCTGGCGGATCAGGTCAAAGCGATCCTCTGACGAATAGTACGGCTGCGACCAGCGTTGTTGATCTTGAAGGCGATCAGAGTGTTATTTTAAAGGCGAAACCCGAGGGGACACCTTTTATTTCCGAATTAGGCGGAGTTACTGTGGAAATCGGTGCTGTGGTATCATAGAGTCCTCGACTATTGTTTAATGGCGGCCTGGAGAAGTGCGTGTTGGTGGCGTCTTCTTTCCATCTTTGATTGGAACAAAAGTTTTTCGATTTCATCCTTGATTTAATAGTTCTTTACGTATTTCTCTTCTTCCCTGTTCCTGGTTTCCATTTTGCTCTTTTTCTGTTTTTGCTTCCTCTTGTCAACGCCCCGGGGTTATGCAAAGCCCATCCTCGTACCTCTATGGAGTTATATGTTTGTCTTAAATTTATGATGGTTTTACCCCTTATAGCGTACCGATGTTATTGACTCATTCCGCAGGCGTTGAAGAAAGAGATGTGGTGTTTGTGCGGTCTTTGTCGGACTTGGTGTGTAGTCTGGCTGATGTTTGTATGATTACAGCAATGATGAAGGCAAAGGCTAATATGTACTATTGATATTAACAGTTGTAATATGATATAATTCTAACGTAATGACTTAATATAACGTTTGTTGCGTTGTTACATCATCCCATTATCTGCAACCCCGGTGGAACGCAATTAGCGCTAAACCCAATATAGAGGAATACTTACCTAATTAGGGAAATTTATTTCCAAATTTGGTTTAGCACAGCAACCAGCTAGCAGACTTTACTGCGGTGTGTTCCTGTAGTCGCCACAGGATTATTTCGGAACCAAACAAGCTACGGTATGTGCTGGAAATGCAATGGCCAAATTGAGGGCAGAGAAACAAAGAGTAAAGAAGAGGATTTGGAAACAGTGGGGCTGAAGCGAGACAATATGTTCCACCTTCACGGGCACTCCCTTATTGAATGCAAGGCGAAGTCCCGTCCAGATACGTAGCTTCAAGGTGTAAAACAGAAGGGAGTTGAGAGGAACCAACGACGGGAAGGTTTAACATATCCTGGTGAAAGGATATGATTTTAGTTTATAAAATAACCAAACAGGAAAAGGTGAATATGGACTGTTGCTCAAGCAAATCGAGCGCAGTGAAAAAAGGGAGGAGTAATCTTTTTTCCTTTTATCTATCCATTTGATTAGGAGAGGTAAAAAAAGGGGCGGGGTGGGAGAATACGAGTAGAATGGCAAGTGGTTAAATCTGTTCACCTTTTTAAATTTTGATTTTATTAGAAGGGAAGGGAATGAGCAAGGCACAGGAACGGTAATGGAAAACCGTTAGAAAAAAAAATACAGAGTAGAATTATTATAATAAGAACCCCGAAGTACTTCGCAAATATTTAGTTAGACATTTAGAGAAAAGGAACAAGTGACACACGGAGCGAAAGCAATACCTAATAAATAGTGAAGGAAGAGGGATGGAGAAAATGAAGCAGAGGAAAGCAGAAGATAAGTGAAAAACACAATTGAGTTAGCTGTATGGAAACAACTCAAGCAATAACACGAAACATGGGACATGGATACAGACATCGACACGGAATAGAGAGATAGACACAAAAATAATGTATTTTAATCAATTCAACTGAAACGTGAAGGAGGGAAAAAAAGAAAAGAGATGAAAGCAAACCAAGTGAGAGCAAGCAGAGCATCATCGCCATGCAAATGCAAAGCAGTCAGTCAGCAGGGCTAAAAACAGAATGGAAAATAGTGTGGCCCTTTGAAACAACAGTAGAAAAAAGGAGAAAATCAAAAATGGCAACTAAAGAAGAAGAAGAAGAAGAAGAAAAAAGAGAGAAAAAAAAAAGAGGGGTTTAAAATCAGGATTAAAACTTCCCGGGTATTCTTCCTTATTTTTTTCTTTTTCAATTCAAGGTTTGTAAAGAAAAGAAAAAAAAATCAAAGTCAAACACGTGTTATGTTGTCTGCACCATCATCACCAATCCTCGTATTACCCCAGTCCCTCCGCCCCTAGTCCTCCATTCGTTTGTTCTTCGAGATCCCCTCAACTTTTCAAATGTGATGTTTTGCAATCTTGAAAGAGTGATCATCGAGGGGAAAAATTCGCTTTGCTTTTCTTACTTCTCTTCCGCTGTCTTCCTTCTAATTTTCATCACATATATCCCTCCCAATGGAAGAATCCGTTTTTTCTCTTCCTGTTTCCCCCCCCCCCCCCAAAAAAAAAATGAGTAAAAAACCATCGCGCCATGAACTTTTGGGGTTTTTCCTTTCTCGTTGCGGTAAAAGCCAGCATAATACAAGGTTAAGGTGCGTTTTTGTGTGTGTATCGTCTATAATTAGTATTGTTGTCGGAAAAAAAGGTGTGATGTGGGAAAAGGTTCGACGAATTTAAGATGCAGTCTCCTTTGCTGGTGATTTTGACCGTTCAACGGCAGGTTGGGACTTGACCATGGGAGGGGATGACGGATTGGATGGAGGCGATGTAGCCATACTATCTTCAGTATTTAAAGCGGCCAGAGCACTGGGATGGTCGAAAGAAAAGGTGGGAAGAAACAAGTTAGTCATTCCGGTCTGTTATGTGGAATATACGTAAATCCAAATCCAACCAGGAACATAAAAGTCCTAGGGGTGGTGGAGGTGTTCTGTTGGGAGGTTGGGGGGAGAATATCTGGGGATCTGGGGACTGCAATCCTCACCTGAATGCATTTATCGAGGATGCAGCCTCCTTGTCGTCCTTTTTATCTTTTCCGCCTGGCGGTGTGCCGGTTCGGGAACTAGCTCCACTGTCCTCGCTACCACGGACTAAGCTACCACCAGGTCCCAGATTTCTGCGGCCACTGTTACTCCGGGCACCAAACATGCTGGACGGTCCGAAGGATACGGGTTGATTGGTATTCCTGGTCGTCTTTAGGCGGCGGAGATCATCACTGCCAACTTTGCTGGAGGCAAAGTCTGGGGGAGGAGCTTGATTGCCATATCCACCAGAGAAGTTTCGTGAGTCGCCACGACTCATTGGCATTCGTCCGCCTCTGTTTGCTTGTTGGCGCATGCGTTCCATTTCTTGCTCTTGTTGGGCACGGGCAGCCTAATAAATGCGATATTGTCAGCGAGTGAAGCTTCGAATCAAATCGTGTTCAAATGGCGTATACTAACCGCTTCTCTAATCTCAACAATAGTCTTAGGACCCTTGTCACCATCTTTCGACACCCAGCCAGCTTTCCGTAGATCGACAATGTCCTATAAAGTTTATTAGCATTAGACCAAGATAAAAATAAACAAAAAAGGCTGTAGTAGATTTTCCAGATTTAAGACATACCATAAGCATGAACTTCAGCCGGCTAGCCAGCTCAGGGCTCTCCATCATCATATTAATCCGCACAAAATACGCATCCATCATACCATGGCCCTTCTCAGAATTATCAAGACTATACCCAATAGTCCTCAGCAGACTTGTCAAACTCTCCACCTCAGCTTCTTCAGGAACACCATCATAATCCACCAACTTCTTCACGCACTGGTGCATGATGCGCTCAGTCAACATGCCAAGTTTGTACAATTCACCAATAAACTTGACAAGACCGAGACCACGACGTTTCGCGGCAGCGGCAGCATAGTATTCATCAGACAGCATGACAGCTTCCTCTGTGGCACCTTCAGGTTTCTCGGGGAGGTTGATCTTCCAACCCCGTTCGAATTCCTCCTGACAGCGATTGAGCAGGTATTTCCGGAACAAGCTACCACCAGTGACAACATTGCCTTGCTTATCGCGGATATTCTGATCTTTGATTTCGGGACTCATGCTGTCGAGCATACGCTTGCAGAATTTGGCGTACATGGGAGCCCAGTGAGCTTCATCCGTGGCCTTTTCAAAGGTCAGCTGGATGACTTGTCGGAGCGTGCGGCCATCAGATTCATCTTTGGACTGTCCCACAATTTCCAAGATCTGGTCAGAAATCCGATCGAACTTTTCGGGCGTCATCTTGTTCAAGTTGGCTTTGACCTTCCGCTGCACGACGTCGGGAGGCATGTGTCCGTCACCACCAAGAGCAGGGCCGGAAAGATTCTGTCCCACGCTCCGCGGCTTCCAGCCACTCTGAGAAGGAACCAATGGCTTAATATCTAAGCCAGCGGTGAGAGGCATGGCCTTGTTGTGAGTTTCCTCTTCCTTCTTAGATACTTTTTCCCGCTTGCTTCCTGAACGAGTACCACGGTGACTGGCAGTACGCGGGGACGGTATCTGCTGCATGGTCGAAGAGCTGCTACGACTCATGGGCAAGCTACTTATAGGCATCCCACTAGGACCACGGGCGAAGTGTCCAAAGGGGTTCGCCATGGATGGAGCATGGACACTACCCGCCATTGGGAAACCATCCCGACCCATACCCCCAGAAGGTAATGTTTGGGCGCGTCCAGGAGCTTGACCAAATTTACCCATGGGGTTGGGGAAAGCACCTTGAATTCCAGGACGAGATGACGTTCGACCACCACCCACGATAGGAGTTCGTGCAGATCCAGGGCGCGAAGAACTATCCGTACTATCTCCAACGGTCTCTCGAACACGACTGTCCCAGTCTATTGATGGCTTCTCCTTAAAGACAGACTGGAATTGAAGTAGGAATTCTTTGTTGTATTTGAATTTCCGGTCAACCGGAGCGTTGGCGTTGAGAGCGGGATTAGGTGAAACGATAGCAGGTGGGTAGGTAATCTTGCTGGGATCTTCAAGGAACCGAGCGGTTTGGAGTGATTTCATAGCAGCGCTGGGTTGAGGTGGCTCAACCGTCTTGGTAGTCTCTAATTTCAATGCAGCTGGCTTGTTGTCACGCTTTGCACCACTGGCTGGCTTAGGCGGGGGTGGCCCCATCGAGATATCTGATACTGGAGTTGCAGCTCCGCTTTCCGCAGGGGTTCGAATGACGGGGCTCTCAGCTGCGGATGTAGGAGATTGGGCACCTTTCTGCTTGAGGGAGGCAAACAAATCGGTCCGGTCCTTCCTGGAACCGTCCTCTTCACCAAGTTCAAGTTTCTTCATTCGAGCCTCTTCTGCAGCCTCCGCTTCCAGTTCAGCTTTCTTAAGATTGGCGAGGTAAGCCTCCTGCTCCTCTTTCTCCTTGCGGGCCTTCTCCTCTTGTTGCTTCTTCTTCTTTTCTGCGTAGGCCTTCTCAGCTG